CTTTCCCTTGCTGTGTGCTCGTTGAGTGCTTATCATTGTGGAGATTCCTATCATCACCCAAATAACCAAAAAGAAAAGAAGTATTTCTAACGAGCTTTTAATTGGCACTTTTCGTGGCAACTGTGCTGATTATCCCATCTGGCTTTACTCCTTTCAGAGCTGCCTGTAAAAATCGTGAAGCCTTTGCGAGACAAAATTGCTCTTGAAAAACATCGGGGGGTCCTGGAGTGCCAGGTGTCTCGTGCCAATGCCAAAGTGAGGTGGTACAAGAAGGACGTTGAAATTCGCCCGAGTGACAAATACGAAATTGTGAGCGAGGGCGTCTACCGGAAACTCATCATCAACGATGCGGGTTATGAGGATGAGGACACCTACACTTGTGATGCCTTTGATGACAAAAGCAGTGCTAATTTCTTCGTTGAAGGTAGTAAACTCGTTTTTTTCCCCCCTTTGGGATCATAGAATCATAGAACCTTCAGGTTGGAAAAGCCCCTTGGGATCAGCGAGTCCAACCATCATCCCTACTCTACAAAGTTCTCCCCTAAACCATCTCCACCAACACCACATCCAAATGACCCTTCAACACATCCAGGGATGGTGACTCCACCACCTCTCTGGGCAGCCTGTTCCAGTGTCTGACCACTCTTGCCGTGAGGCTTTTTTTTCCTAATGTCCAGTCTAAACCTGCCCTGCTGCAGCTTGAAGCCCTTCCCTCTTGTTCTGTCACTGATTACCTGTGAGAAGAGACCAGCACCAACCTCTCTACAATGACCTTTCAGGCAGTTGTAGAGACTGATGAGGTCTCCCCTCAGCCTCCTCTTCCTCAAACTAAACATTCCCAGCTCCTTCAAGTGTTCTTAATAAGATCTATTCTCTAGGCCCTTCACCAACTTCCTTGCCCTCCTTTGTCCTCACTCCAGCACCTCGATATCTCTCTTGAATTGAGGTGCCCAAAACTGGACACAACACTCCAGGTGTGGCCTCACCCGTGCTGAGTACAGGGATATGCTGGAAGAAGGACTGGCTCATTTGAAAACCCCTTGTCATTCACTTTCAAAACACAAAATAATTTAAAAAGTATTTTCATTCTGTGTTGATTTTTTTTCCCTCTAAGTCCATTGATATGCCTTCCTTTTGGATTATAAATGCAGGAACATCCTGCAAAATGAATAGATGGTTTATTTTCCTAAGGAACGTGGTGAAATTCCCATTCCAGGGATGTGCCAAAGAATGTACTTTGTTGTTCAGAGAAAAGTTGCTGTAGCCAACCAAAATCTTTCTCATTATCAGCATTTGCATTTCAGTGAATTTCTTTTTCATTTTATAGTGCCAAGTGCTTGGTATCAGGACAGGAAAGTGGTTTTAGAAATAGGACTGGGAAACAGGAGATATGGGTTCTCTTGAGCTTGTGTCACAGTCTCACTGTCTGACATTTGACAAGCAATATATGTTTATTTTTATGGGGGGGGGGGAAGAAAAATGATGTTTTGAGGCTTTTTGAACCAATAAGTGCAGTATTAAAATGCAGAAAAAGATGACATGAGTGTGCAGGATACTAATGAGAGAGTTCTGTCACGTCTCCTGAATCTCTGCTTTCTCATTCCATCCTTCACCCAGAGCAATCCATCAATATTGTGAAGGAGTTGTGTGATGAGGATGTGACTGAGCCCGAAGAAGCCAATTTTGAATGCGAGACATCCATTCCATCTGTGAAACCACCCAAGTGGTCTCTGAGGGGAGAGGTCTTACAGGCTGGCAGAAACATTATCATGCAGCAAGAAGGCACCATCCACCGGCTGACAATAGTGAAAACCAAAGCTGACATGACAGGCACCATTCAGTTCTCCATTGGCAAATCAAAATCCACAGCAAACCTGCTGGTCAGAGGTAACTTGATATGTTCTGGTTTGAATTAGATAGGGAGAGATCCTCCCTCTCACAGTCCCTGGCAAGTAATTTCTCGGACACACTGGCTGATGTGCAGGCTCCACTGGGGGCTGGAAATTGATGTATACCTGGAAGATCTGCTTAGTTCCCAGTTCCAAGTTGTTGGGCACAATGTTGGATGCATGAAATGAGACAGTGGTGTCTCAGGAAGGAATATAATTAAATGAGTTTGGAGTGCCTGATGTTCAAATCTACTGAACTAAGATGGGTTGGTTTTTTTCTTGACTTTACCAAAGAGGACAAAATGGATTACATTTTCCAGGAGAGTTTATTTTGTCCTATTTCTGAACTAGACAAGTCTGATAGCTCATTTACTTAATCTGCTTTGTCATTGACTTGATCTGGGACAATGCTTCAAGGCTTTTTATCTTCCACTGTCACCATAGTAAATATCTCCAGTCACGTCCTGAAGTCCTTGTTTTGTCTTTAATTTTCTCTTGGATAAAAACTTCAATTAGAGAGCAATTCAGTAAGCACTGAACCAGCACTGGCCCACGCATTTGGTCCAGTTAATGGACAGTATTATGATATAGATACCAACATCCACTATAGATCATCATGTTTTGGCTTTAAAGCAAATCCTGTAGCAGGAACCTATAGCATCATCTGAGTAATTCACAAAACAGTGGTGGGCAACATATATTGAATTAATTGTCATTAAATACAGATGAAAAACCTTCCTCTTCTTCAGGTTGATCCTTTCTTCTTCCCCAACCCCACTTTGCAGATTACCACATACAGATCACCAGGAAGATGGAGGACAAGACAGCTCTGGAGCGCCATTCGGTCATCCTGTCCTGTGACTTCAGGCCTTCTCCAAAGGTAGTGAAGTGGTTCAAGGGCCACACACCCATCGAGCCCTCTGAGAAGTACAAAATCAAGCTGGAGGAGTATTCAGCAGAGCTCAAGATTTTGAAGGTGAAGCCTGAGGATGCTGGTGTGTACAAGTGCAGGGCTGGAAATGCCGAGACCGAGGCCACGCTGACGGTGGAAGGTAGGGGATCTTGCAGCAGGGAGGTTGGCCTGTTCAATAGGAATAAAGAAGACATTTATTTTTATGAAGAAGATTATTTTTATGGTGAAACACTGGAACAGGTTTCCCAAAGAGGTGGTAGATGGAAACAGTCAAAGTCGGGTTGGACAGGGCTCTGAACAACCTGATCTAGTTGTCTCTGCTGATTGCAGGGGGGTTGGACTAGATGACCTTGAAAGGTCCCTTCCAACCTGAACCATTTTGTGATTCTATGGTATCTTCATGCTTCAGTATTTCCCTCTGGATTTCTCTTCTTGAGTGGAGGTAGATTCCCACAGTTTGCAGGTGCTAATTTCATATAACTGCAATAGCTTAAGTGAACTGACTTTGTTACACACAGTGTTGATATTCCATGACACTTGAAATCCAACACTCACCATGGAGTAGGTAGTGCAGATGGAAGGGCACCACCTGAGTAAGGCAGAAATTCATGTGTCTTTCTCAAGGTACCTTCTTTTCCATTTCATCTGAAGAACTAGAACCTTTAATACTTCTTGCTAAAAATGTCCTTTATGTTAAACTGCTACAAGCCTCTCATTCTGGTGATCTTGGTTGTGGTTTTGTCCTGACCACTGTGTCAGCTTATATATCTGCTGGAGATGTATTATTCATAATGATGTTCTACCTCATCCTAGAATGGCACTGGTTTTAGCCAGTTCTTCACCTCTTGGGAAACTATAAGAAAAGATGATCACTGTATCACTTTCAGTAAGACTTGGAGGTGAGCCATGGAATCATTCCCAGAAGTCCAGGAAGCAGCTTTTGATAACAGTTTGGCCTTGAAGAGGTTCATCCAAATGACAGCATTATTTGGTACTCCCCAAACCCTCTTCTGAGTTAGCTAATCCTTGAGAAACAGCATTTAATGGGTGGAGAAGCAGCAAAGAGAAACCTCTGGCTGAGAACTGGGAAGGAAAATTAAATTCCTGTTGCTCCCTAAACCTGAGCAAGCTGCTTAATCTCTTTGTAGTTGCTGTTTGGGACCAAACCCATTCTCTCCATCTCTTTCTTTGTGTTTTCCCAGCAGTGAGTCAGGGATGATTTAGTTATAATGTGTTAATGTGTACATGCAGTGATGAACACACAGGGCTTGGAGCTCTGTGGGGCATTAGGCATCACTGTAACATCACCACCATTTTAGAAAGACCTATATTTTTTTAAATTAAAAATAAATAAAGCAATCAGTTTTATGTGTTAAAAGAGAACTGAGGGGTGTGGACAAAGTAGTCTTTTTAACAGATTTTTTTTTTTTGTTGAACCAAATTAAGAACCAATTCAAGAAAATGTCATGACCCAGGGTGTACAGTTGACCAGACGAAATAATCTAATTAACCTTAAACACTAAGAAATCTGTTTGTGGCAACAGTACTGATTTATGGTAACAGTGGTGATGGTGCACCTTGGTTTCCCACAGCCCGTGATGTAGAAGTGCTCAAACACCTGCAGGACGTGGAAATCGAAGAGGAGGGTTCTGCTGTCTTCTCCTGCGAGCTGTCCCACGATGATGAGGACGTGGAGTGGTTCCTCAATGGCACCCTCCTTTACACCAACAACTTCAATGACATCAGGAACGTTGGGAAATGCTACACGCTGACGATGAAGCAGGTCAAGCCTGAGGATGCTGGCACAGTGACCATGAAGTCAGACAAGGTGTCAGAGAGTGTGCGTCTGAAGGTGATAGGTGGGTTCTGATCACATTGCTGGATGTAAATAAGAGATGCAAAGGAGCTGTTATTATGTTATGTATTATGTTATGTGTTATATTATGTGTTATGTTATGTATTATGCTATGTATTATGTTATTGTGTATCAGTGCAGTAATTCTGGTTGTAAGCTTCACCTCTCTGGGGCCAACCAACAGGTATGCAGGGGTTTTCTTCCAGTTTCTGCTTTAGCTGATGGTTTTTCTAAGGAAGATTGTTTTGTTGTCCTGCCAAAACTTCCCACAGCTCATCCTTTTATTCATGAGGACAGTCTCAAGAGCAATTTCCTTTACTTGTTGGTCTAGTCAATATATATAGTCTATAAAATGTCATTATCTTTAGATTTTTATCTGTAAAGAGCTGAGCTTCAGTGTGCCTGCAAAGGTAGGGTATAACTTTAGTACACCAACTCTGGAGTTGAACTGAACCTGCAAGGAGAAGGTTTGCTTGTTGTCCTTTGTGTGTCTTCAAGTTTGGTCACACCTCTGAGTTGCTGTGGTTTAACAGCAGCTAAGCCACAGGAAGCTGGGTGAATTGTTTTAGGCATATTAGAGACATAAGGTAAAACTCACATCAAAATTTCAAAATTACATTTATTTTTACTTTTTTTTAGCAGCACACCTGTGGATCAGAGTGTTTTTTTACCCTAAATTAACTCCATCATCTGACTGGAAGCATAAGTACAAATGTTCTGAGCTTTTCTCTCTGAAAGTTGTGGTCTGATGTCCTTTATAACCTCCTAATTGCAGAGAGATGATTCTTCTTTCATTTTGCCTCCTGATCATGACTCATTTGTTCTTCCCAGAGCATTTCAATAATTTAACTTTTCTACTCTATCCACTCGGAGAGTCAAGGAATTCCTCTTCCTCCAGACTTCTGTATCTGGTAAAAAATTTCCCCATATAAATATATGCTGTGTCAAATATATTTTAAACTAGATAAAGGGAAGAGCAAAAAATTCAGGAGAGTGAGGAAATTGTGCAGAATATCCTTTTATTGCTGCTCCTACTGCATGAATCCTGTTTCATGAAGAAGCAGTGCCAGCTTTCTGGCTTTAGAAGATGAAGATCCCAATTACTTCTCTTCCCACATTTTTCTTCTAACCACCTTCTAACTTTTCCACTTACATACTGCATCCTCCCAGTAATGAATCCTGATCTTCCTACAACTCCTTCCCATCACAAGGTGTGAGGCTCTGAGGTTCTGAATTGGTACCATCAGCACTGTCAAGGTTTTCCTTAATCTGTCTTTAAATATTTGGTAGCAGCTGAAAATGTCTCAACTCAGATATCCTGATTGATCTCTGTTCTGGCCCCTTCACCTTCAGAGAAGCCTGCTGTCTTCATGAAGGCCTTGGATGATGTTTTTGGTGAGGAGCGAAGCGTGGTTAAACTGGAATGTGAGGTCTCCAAGGAGAAGGTCACACCTGTTTGGAAAAAGGATGGTGTGAAGCTCACTGCTGGTAAAAAGTATGAGGAGATACAATCTGGGAAGACCCTGTGCCTCCTTATCCACGACCTTGAAAAGGCAGATGCAGGTTTATACACTTGTGATATTGGCACAGATGTTGCCAAGTCGAAGGTCAACGTTCGGGGTAGGTATTGCAGACCATGGCCAGTCAAGGGGTGCAGTGAATGTGGGTGGGGTTGGTCACTTTGTCTCACACCTGTTCCTCCATGAGCCTCAGTGGCCTCCACTCTTGAGCAGTTCTAACAGAATTTAGCGTGTAACATGGAGATGTTTGAACCATCCCCCAGTGCTCTTCTGTGTGACTGGATCTGGTGTTTCAGGAAGATTTATGGGTTGAGGTATTGACAGTGTTTCCTTCCTCAACAGCCTTGAAGTGGAAAAATCCTCCCAGAAGAGCAACTAATTATTTGAAATAAATAAATAAATAGACAAACCTACAACCCAAACAAAAAAAACCCCAAACACTAACCAAAACCAACCAACCAACAAAAACTAAACAAAAAAAAAAACAACCAAAAACAAACAAAAAAAGAAACACAGCCAAAAAAACCCCAAACAAAACAAACCAAAAACCCCAAACAACCCTGCAGTTTATGTGTCACATGGTTCAGCTATTCATTCAAGGTCAGTTGTGGGAACACTAAAGCAGGACAACACTGTGTATTGTACAACCCAGCAACTGTCCTCTCAGCCTCTCATTTTTGTGGCTGCCTGAAGGAAAGAGGATTGTCCATGGCTTTCAGTCTCATGTTGATAATGAGGATTTTGAATTTGTCTGATTTGATCCCCAGGAGGGTTAGGATGGTAACAAGTTACCAAACACAAACATTCAGTTTCTCACATCAGCATGAAGAAAAATCTCACACATTGTTCCAGAGGCTCCCTGTCTGACAGTTTTCCTCCCTCTGATTCATGGAATCTTGACTTTTCTCCATGGAATGAGATGTTCTCCATGCGGTCCTTCCAGAGCAAAAAAAACAGGAAATTCACATGCCCATTGTTTCTATAGATTTGTGATGATTCTGAGTGGATAATGTCTGAAGAAACCTTCCCATGTCAAATATCTCTGTGAAGACTGCAGTGCTGCCCTGCCCATCCTATAGATAAACCAGTCTGATGTGCTAAAAAAATGTCAATGCCACTACTCATGTCAATCATAAAAGCTTTTTCTCCATATACTGACCTGCTGTTTATCTTCCAGAGCTGAACATTGGCATCACCAAGAGGCTGAAGAACACTGAAATCCACGAGGGAGAAGACTGCACTTTTGAGTGTGTTTTGTCCCATGAAAGCATTGATGATTTCAACTGGACGCTGAACGGCAGCAAAGTGGAAAGTGGTGGGAGGTTTAAAGCCTCCAACATGGGTCGGAAATATACACTCAGTATCAAAAATGTTAATGCTGATGATGCTGGGGAAGTAATTTTCACTGCCCGCGGCCTGACCTCCAAGGCTTCTCTCGTTGTGAAAGGTAAGGAGGCCAGAAAGATCCTGGGGTTTGATTTCTTGTCGGTCTTTCCATAAGGAAAGCCTTGAGGAGAAGGACCTGGGGGTGTTGGTCAATGAGAAGCTCAACATGAGCCACCAATATGCACTTGCATCCCAGAAATTCAACTGCATCAAAAGAAGCATGGCCAGCAGGTTGAGGGGGTTGATTCTCCCCCTCTGCTCCACTCATGAGACCTCACCCAGACTACTGTGTCCAGTTCTGGAGCCCCTAACACAGGAAGGACATGGAGCTGTTGGAGCAAGTCCAGAGAAAGGCCATGAAGATGATCAGAGAGCTGGAGCAGCTCTGCTCTGGAGCCAGGCTGGGAGAGCTGGGGTGTTCAGCCTGGAGAAGAGAAGGCTCCAGGGAGATCTTAGAGGACCTTCCAGTGCCTGAAGGGGCTCCAGGAAAGCTGGGGAGGGACGTGGGACAAGGGTGTGTAGCAGTGGGTTGAAGGGTAATGGTTTGAAACTGGAAGAGGGGAGATTTAGGTTAGACATTAGGAGGAAGTTTTTTAGTGTGAGGGTGATGAGACACTGGTACAGGTCTCCCAGGGATACTGTGGCTGCTTCATTCATGGAGGTGTTCAAGGGCAGGCTGGATGGGGCTTGGAGCAGCCTGAGCTAGTGTTCCTAGCTCCTGGTTCCCAGTTCCTGTAAGCAATCATTAATACTCACTGAGAGCCCATAACTCCAATTGATATGCACTAAAAAGCAAGACTACCTTTTCCCTCCCTTCCCTAGCATAAAATCAATCCTTTATTGGTGAATGTGAAAACTTACTGGATATTGGAATTGCAAAAAGCCCCCAACCATATAGTGATGACGACGATGTGTATTCAAAGCTCCCTTTACTTTCACCCCCTTCTCTGCAGAAAAACCTACTGAGGTTACAAAACAGCTGGAGGATAAAACATCAGCAGCAGGGCAGGACATCAGCCTGACCTGTGAGTTGTCGAAACCTGATGTGAGCATCAGGTGGTACAAGGATGGCAAAGCCATCCGGAAGAGCCAGAAATACGAGCTGCACCAAGAGGGAACACGGGCCACTCTGATCATCCATGACTCCACGGCCAAGGACAGTGGGGAGTACACCTGTGAGACAGAGGCCTCTAAAACAAAAGCCACGGTCACAGTGCAAGGTGAGTTGAAGCTGGCATAGGGGCCGGCAGGTAGAGAAGTTGGGGTAAATATCTACAGCCTGTGGGGGAGATGTTCTTCTCTTCTGTTTTCCCAAGCAGAATCAATTTTTAGTTTTCAAAAAAAAATGTGATGGATTAAAAGCTTTTAGAAAAAATCTCTGAAAAAAGCACCTTCTAAGTACTGAAGAATCTTATGTGCTACTTAATGAGCCAACAAAAACTGGCCATTTGAATTAGTTTGTTTTGTTGTTTTTTTTTAATATGGGTGGTCAAAACTATATGTGGTCTGCAAGGTGAGACCTCCCCAGTATCTGGACAATGGTGTTAATATTTTATGGAAATATGTTACCTCATATGTCCTGAGAAATGAAGTGAATCTGGTGATTTTCTTTGATCCATTCCATCTGATAGGATGAGAGAAAATAGCCTCAAGTTATTACAGGGGAGATCTAGATTGGATATTAAGAACTGGATATTCTCCAAAAGGGATGCCAGGCCCTGGCCCAGGCTGCCCAGGGCAGGGGTGGAGTCCCCATCCCTAGAGGGATTCCAAAGCCATGTAGATGTGGTGCTGAGGGACATGGGGCAGTGGTGGCCTTGGAAGTGCTGGGTTAAAGGTTGGATTTGATGATCTTAAAGGTCTTTTCCAACCTAAGTGATTCTATTATTCTATATTCTGTGATTCTACCAGTGATAGCAGAGGGGACTCAAGACCACTCATTCTGCTCAGGACTAGACTAATTTGGGTAACAAACCTGTCTCTGTCTCCCTCTTTCTTCTTTCCAGAAAAACCTAATTATTTTGTCAAGGAACTTTCAGACCTTAAAGTCAATGAAAGTGGAACTGCAGTTTTTATGTGCCAGAGTGAGAAAACTGCATCCTCTGTGGTCTGGAGGAAAGGCATAGCTGAGCTCAGGGCTAGCAAGAAATATGAGATCACACAGAAAGGACAAGTCCTGCAGCTGACCATAAATAACTTGGAGAAAAGTGACAGTGACACTTACACCTGTGACATCGGTGATGCCCAGTCCAGAGCCAAGCTGGTTGTGCAAGGTAGGCATGAGAGGAATATGACTGTACATCCCATTTCTCCACCTGGAAATACTATATGCAGAGGCAGATCTACTTCTCAGCACAGGGGTAGCAGATCCTCTGATTTCTGTCTCACTGATGATGTTCATACACTGTACAAGCCATGTAGACACAAATATAGGAGCATGGAACTGGATGTGCAGAGCAATTTGTTGATTTGAAGCAATTACACCTGGAGTACTTGGGGTATGATTTGACTCCTCCTGTGGAACAAGTCCAGAGGAGGCCACAGAGATGCTCAGGGGGCTGGAGCAGCTCTGCTCTGGAGACAGGCTGGGAGAGTTGGGGTGTTCAGCCTGGAGAAGAGAAGGCTCCAGGGAGACCTTAGAGCACCTTCCAGTGCCTGAAGGGGCTCCAGGAAAGATGGAGAAGGTTTTTTTTACAAGGGCTTGGAGTCATAAGGTGAGGGGAAATGGTTTCAAGCTGAAAAAGGGGAGATTAGGCATTAGAAAGAAATTATTTAGTGTGAGGGTGGTGAGACACTGGCATGTTGCCCAAGAGTAGTTGTGGCTGCCCCACCTCTGGAAATGTCCAAGGGCAGGTTGGATGGGGCTTGGAGCAACCTGGGCTGGTGGGAGGTGTCCCTGCCCATGCAGGGGGTTTGGAACTGGATGATCTTTAAGGTCTCTTCCAACCCAAACCATTTTGTGATTCTGTCATGATTTAAAACCCCAGATGCTGATGGGAGGCCGTGCTGGTGTTCCTATGTGAACATGTGATGGATATGGTTCAGAGTAGCTGCTATTAGATAAGAGAAAAAATTATTCTTCCTCCAGGCTTTTCCTCATATCCCTCAGTGCCTTTTTCCAGTAGTGGTAGCTAAGAGGAGATGGGCAAATGAGTGGTCCAAGGATCTTTAAATGCTTAATGTCTCTCTGGGACTTAGACATGAGTTACACCCTCCAGCTGAAGAGTGCAACCCAAGCAGCATTTCTTTGATGGCCCCAGCAGTAAATGAGCTTTGGTGGCCAATGGTACCAGCAGGGCAGTGTTCCAGGGAAAGGAATGAGGTCTGGTTGCTACTGCTCCTCCCAGCTCCCTCACTGGAGACCCAGCTGGGAGAAACTCTTCAGCTGAAACAGATGAAGCAATGAAGAGATTAGGAAGAACAATTTAAGAGCAGTCACACAGAAACACAGTAGCACTGTCCACTTATTAATTATTATAGTTAGTTATTGAAGACCAAGGGGTAAAGTGTGACTCCTTTGCCTGCTAGAGAAGCTTTGAGGAGCAAAGTGTGCTTAATCCCCACTATGGCTTTTAGGCCCTGAGCTACCTGAATTGCCTGTGGGGTTTCTAACGCTAACTTTTCGCAGTGAAAAAATGCTTGTCAGTCACAAAGCTCAAGAAAAAAAGATTTGAAATTCCCTGTGCTGGTTTTGTAAGTAGGAGCAACCTCAGATGTATCTTTGTATAGAGAGATAACCTTATTTTATTTGGTTAAGCATTCATATATCTGTTTATATCTGTACAGACAAGTTCTGGTGGCTGTTGTTTTGTTTTACTAAAGCTGCAGTCAAATATTATCACCCCTTCCCACTGTGTCATCTGTACAGACAAGCTCTGATGGCTGTTGCGTTTTACTAAAGCTACAGTCAAATATTATCACCCCTTCCCACTGTGTTTATGGTTGGACTAAGCCCAAAGAAGGTGGAGGGTGGGTGGTCCTATCCCATAGAAAACAAGTTGTATTTGCTCTGGAAGAGCAGAGAGGTTGTTGTGGGAGGATGTCAGGGGGAAATGACATGGGGATGTCCTGGGGATGTCATCATATTCTCAGTCTTGTCTAAAGTCCAGTGAAGCTATCAGAGTTGCAGCTTTCCAGACTTTCCAGGTAGTTCCCTTAGGAGAAACTTTATAACAGAGGATTTGCATTGTACTGGCTACTTGTTCTGCTCTATCTGTCCTGATGCTTTGAAAGTGTCCTATTTTGGTGTATGTCCTGTATAAATTATCTTCCTGTGAGTGGGAATTGTGTTTCAGTCTTCTCTATTATGAACGTATTTCTTTCTTGAAATGTTCACATGGGAAATTCTGGAGTTTTCCTTATTAGTTTTCATGCTAGAAACTGAAGATTCCAGTAATTGATGTGTCTATGTTCCTTTCAGGCCATAAAGTGCTAATAACAGAAGACCTGGAGGATGTCACTGTGTTAGAAGGAGAATCTGCCATGTTCAAATGCAGAATCTCTCCTGTAGACTATAGCAAAGTGCAGTGGTTTTTGGATAAAACCCCACTCCATACCAATGAACTTAATGACATCCAGTCTCAGCCTGGTGGATATCACTTGCTAACGTTGAAAAAACTCTCACTGAAGGACTCGGGGGTCATTACGTTTGAAGCTGGTGATAAGAAAACCTCTGCCAGTTTGGTTGTTAAAGGTAATTCAATCATCAAAACCTGCAGGAGAGGAAAGGATGGGTAGAAATAAATATGGGTTAACGTGGGTAGGTGGAAAAAAAGAATAGAAATGCTACAAATGTGGCCCCAGCATATGTATGTCTGGGTATGTCCAATGATAGTATTACCTATATAATGAAGCTGGGGCTTGGGGATTGACACTTTGTAATCCTGGGCAACTCTCAGTGTGTTTGTTGGACCTTAGATGGGAATGTCTTGGACTTCAGCTGGGAATTTTCTACTGTGGTGATGATGCATTGGATGCCTTGTCCAGTTTTCCTTGAGTTGAGCTGGCAGGGTGATGAGTAACCAGTTAGTTAAAGGGAAAAAAAGACAAGAAAAGTGCAAGCAATCAGTTTTTTATTTAGCTTTCATTGCTTGAAAGGCAATATTACGTGTTCTGTGCTGTTGATTGTTGACAATTCATTGTTTTCCCTGGAAGTTAAACTGAGTTAAAACTGTAGTGTTAGTCCAATTCTATAGCAAGGGAATAATATTAATGTCAGACAGCCCAAGGGCAGGATTGCAGAGGTGTTTTCATACTGAAAACATAAACATTTCTTGTCGCCCAAAGATGTAAACCACACAGTCTCCACAGTCTCAGGTCATATTTTCATACTTTTCAGAATCACCAGGTTTCTTGCAAAGAACTTTTTTTTTTTTTTTTTGTCAAAATTTGCCTGAATTTTGCCAATTCTATAGAAATACAACCAGACTATTTTCTTTTTTTTAATATTTTTTTTCTGAAGGCAAACAAAAGGTTTTTATTTGCAAAACGGTTGTTGCCTTTTGGAAACACTAAGAGGTAATGTTATGGTACCAAAACCAGGTTCTGGTCATCTGATTGATTGGATTTTAATGAATTAATGAGCATTAAACTAGGGGGGATAAGATCTACCTTGGCCAATTCAGCCATTGGTATTTAGCTTTGGCTACTTCTCTAAGCTGTGTGGAAAGACAAGCACTTCCACAGAGCAGCTCATCTTCTCTGTGCTAATGACCTATGTTGGAAGTGAATGTCTGGTCTCTGGATATTTCTGTCACCTTCCAGTGGGCAGAGAGACACCCAACATGACCATTCTCAACTATCTGCCTGGTTTTTAGAGAACTCATACTGATGAGAGCTGCTCTATCTTCCTAGTTCTGAGAAACTGATTTTGCACCTCACTTCACGCAGAATTAACTTTTCCACGTTCAGTTAGAAGGTTCAAATTAATCAGCTCATGTGGAAAAGGGCTTAGGAAAATCCTGTCTCCATCTTGTTTACCTTCAGAGAAATGTGAGAATGAGCTGATTTGTATTCCTCAGCAGGGATATTGTCTTCTCAGTTTCTTCTAGCTGGTGTCAGGTATTTACTAATCACCACCTTATGGCGTGACTGGTGCCATCTTGAGGGCTTCATAACCATGATCACCAAATTATTTGTTACTAACCTTGACCTGTAATTTTGATACAAGTAATCTTGGATGCAAATCTCACAGATTACTTGTGATCGGGGAAACACCCACCTCTTGCGAAACATCTCAGACGGTTTTTATGTGATTCTAGAGAAGCCCTGCATCTTCACAAAGGAGCTGGTTGATACTGAAGTCACTGAGGGAGAGGATGTGATCCTTCACTGTGAAACCTCCAAGTCAGACATCCCTGTAAAGTGGTGCAAAGACGGGAAGAGCCTTAGGAATTCTTCCAAGTATAACGTCAGCCGGTCGGGATTTGAAGCCAAGCTTGTCATTCACAGGGCAGAAGAAAGAGACAGTGGCAGATATGAGTGTGAGGCTGGAGCAGCTAAAAGTAGTGCGGTTGTTACTGTCAAGGGTAAGAACTCTTGGAGTGATGGTTGGGGTCCTGACTTGTCATCTAACACTGAGGTCAGAGTGATAAATTGAAATGATAAAAAATGTGGAACTGAACTGAAAAGAAACCTCATGTCTTTGCACCACAGTGCAGGAGAGGTTCTCACCAAGTCATGTGTGTGGTGTCCACCACCACGACTGCACCCAGGGAAGTGACAGAATGTGACATAGGAAAACCCTTCTTCCTGCCTGATTTTGCAAAGTTAAGCACTGAAGCTCTCTGGAGAAGAGGGCAGTGGGTCCGTAGAGGACAATGGGCATCTCTGTAGAAGATCCAACCCACCTAAGAGGTAACGCAGAGAAAGGGTGAATCACCTTCTGAAGCTGTCTCTACTGATGGCTCTCTCCAAGGAGGTCTCTCTCATACTCCCACATTTGCCTGGGTAATTGCTTTAGGCAGCCAAATTGATTGAGAGTAGTGCACTCAAAGTTTTTATTCTGAAGATCATGATGAGGCAGGAGGTGCTACCTGAAAGGTTGTTATCTGAGCTGGGGCAAAAGTTCTCTTCTTAGATACACTAGAATTTAATGTACTTCCTTGAGCACGTTGGGTAAGCAGAATGTACATTAGGTAAGTGCTGGGTCTGGGATGTGTCAAAACCAGGCTCACCTGCTGGGAGGGCTGGAGCACCTTTACAATGGAGACAGGCTGAAGGAGTTGGGGTTGTTCATCCTGAAGGCTCCAGGGAGGCCTTAGAGCACCTTCCAGTGCCTGAACAGCCTGCAGGAAAGGTGAAAGAGGACTTCTGACATGGGCATGGAGTGACAGTACAAGGGGGAACAGTTTCAAGCTAAAGAGGGGAGATTTAAATGAGGTATTAGGAGGAAATTATTTCCTGTGAGGGTGATGGGACACCCTGGGGAAATGTAGAGATCTCCAGCCAGCAGTGTTGTCATCTGGGAGAATGACTTTCAATGAAAAATCGGGTCATTAATGTCCAAGATAGATGATTTAATACTGAAACAGGTAGGGAGGACCACTGGAATCAGCTGGGGAATTATGAATGTGGTGTGTAAGTCAACAGTAAAGACAGGTAATGGTGGCAATAGTGAGATCCTGAAGTAGTTTTCTAATAGATGCAGTTTCCAAGGCTTGATGTGAGGGTGGTGAGACCCTGGGACAGGTTGCCCGGGGAAGCTGTGGCTGCCCCATCCCTGGGGGTGTTGAAGGGCAGGTTGGATGGGGCTTGGAGCAGCCTGGTCTGGTGGGAGATGTCCCTGTCATGCAGGGGGTGTTGGAATGAGATGGTCTTTAAGGTCCCTTCCAACCCAAAGCAGTCTGTAATTCTTTACTGCCCATGTTATAATGGCTCCAGCCTGTCCTGAGTCACTTCTCCAGCCTGAGGCTGAGGAGGAGCTTGGTTCCTATAGACAAAATTTCTCATTCACATGGGCAGGCTTGGGCAGACACAGAGGGGCTGTTGATGGCACAGTTTGGGTTTAGCCTGACCAGCTGATGTTCCTGCATGCAGCTCTTCTTGACATGCTGTGGAGGGGCTGGTGGGAAGCTGCACCTGGATTAGAGAAGCCAGTTTGAATAACAAGCATTTGGATTGTTGAAATAGTCAATCTGAACCTCCAAGCAGGGAGAGGGAGGGCAGGTTCTCACAGTACTTACCCAGAGCACAAAGAAACAAGCCAACTTAAGGCTGAGATCTGCTGTGTTAGGAAGCAGATGAACTTGATGATGTAAGGAAGAAAGGTGATGGTTGATGGTCCAGATTTGCAAGGTCTTATATTGGTATTAGGATGCTTTTCCAACAGTTGTTATGCAAAAAAGAAAAGCCTCTGTTGACTTTAGTAGGACCTGGATCTCACCTGTGATGAAGAGGAATTTTTCTGTTAGGAAAACCCCCCACTCATAATGAGTGTTAAACAACAGATCTCTTCTTCCCTTCACAAAGAAGGGTGTGGGTGGATGCAGGGTCTAGACACCTGGAGTCAGACCTCACCAGTAGTTGTGAAGGAGTCAAGTCATAAGGATGACTACAACAAATTATACTGCTGTAGCTTCCCTCTGTCTGTTAGGGTCACATCAGAAGAGCAGATCGCAAAAATAACAACACAAGTAAACAAAATAAACCCCCCAAAACAACCAAACCAAACAAAAACCAAACAAAATCCCAACCAACCAGCCAAACAAAAAATCAGGAGCCATGTGACATTGGGTGTCCCAAACTAGATGTGAAAGGAGAACAGACGAATTTGCTTTAGTTTCTCAACAGCCACAGGACAACTGCATCACAGTTCAGTAGCTGGTTTGAATATTTGTAAGACAGCAGAAACCACTTGGTTTGATGTTTGAATTCAGCATTTTCTGGCTTTGCTGGCTGTGTTTCATCCATCTCCCACTGTCCGTTGGTTTGAAACTGGGGGCTTTGTGGCAAAGAAGAGATGTGAGAATTTATCCTCTTGGCTTTCACTTCATAAAAGTGAAGAAGGCCCCCGTAGGTAAGGCCAAAAGTAGGCAGAGCACCAGCAGGAAGCTTGTTCTCACAGGGTTTGTCCTCACATCCCACTGGTGCCAGCAGACTTTGGTGCTGAACTTGAAGGAATGATCTTTAAAACAGCTGAGCTCAGTTAGAGAGAGATTTTTCCATTCAGGAATTAAATACTATCCTTCTTTGTGGGACAGTGATCTATTTTTATGACGTCCTGAAGGGAAAACACATCAGTTGAGGGTTTTTTTAATCCCAGTAAGTGCCTTCTCTAGACTAGTCCACCTTAAAGCCTTGAATCCCAGGCTGTGACAGAACCTCCACAGGGATCTCCACAAGGACCTTCCATGTACAGCTGTGCTCTCCTCTCCATGCTTGCTCTGTGCTGCTTTTAAGTCTGTATTCATGCCAGATAAAAATACTGTGTAGGTTGGGGTTTTTTTTAATAGTGAGAAATCAATACTGCTGGGCATGACAGAAAGTGCTTTGCCATTTTTCTGTGTCCTCTGTGTTGTGATGTTCCAGCTCTGAGCAACCATCTGCATCATACTGTGTCAGTAAGAGCAGGGCAGCATCTGCCACTAATATTAATGGTGACAACAATAATAACTGTAATGCCTTCAGTAGTACAGGTAGTGGTTAAAAGGAAATAAAATGCATTGGGTCTCAAATGTTTTTGGCTGCTGTAAAGTGCTGGCAGACAGATGAGAGCTGTAAGATTCTGTTTACAGTTTGTGAGTGCTTTTCTGTTCCTGTGGTTTTTTTTATCTGAATAGCAAAGTCTGAAACACAAAGGAAAAAGTTACGTCCAGTCTCATATGTTTCCTCCTTAAACGTTTGTTCTGTACTTTTCCAGAAATCCCAGTTCTTTTCAAGAAAGAGCTCCAGAATGAAGAAGCTAAAGAAGGAAAACAAGTCAAGCTGACCTGTGAGCTCAGCAAACCTGATGCCCCAGTGAAATGGATGAAAGGAGACACTGTCCTCTATGCTAGTGAGAAATATGAGTTTAAGCAGCATGGAACTGTGGCTGAGCTGATTATTCGAGATGTCAAATCACTAGACTCTGGGGAATATACCTGCAGCTCTGGGGAACAGAAGACCACTGCTCGGGTGAAAGTAAATGGTAGGCAGAGTTAGATATGGTGTCACCCTTTCTTAATGCTTAATAGATATGCCATTAAATAAAACAAACAAAGAATACAGCCCCTTGTGGAAGTGCCATCTACAGATTCATGCATAAAATTTAATGTTAATATTGCATATATATATATGCAATATGCATATATGCACCTGCATATATTTCATTCATGTCATGTCACTTTATGGATCTGAGATTTTAAATCTGTAGCTTGCCACTCAACAGAAAATATGGAAATGCAAAGGGTTCATATTCTATACCCTACGTGCCATAGTTCCTGACCTATCAGCTCTTTTCCATGGCTGGGATTAAGACTGGAGTTAGAGGTGGAGACCAGGAGAATGGGACCAGAAGACAAACATCAGTCTAATCCAGTCCCTGATTAATGTTTCGACCCCAAACTCCCCAAAATATCCCTTTTTTAAAGGTTCTCAGATGCCACTTGCACTTCCCAGTGTCTTTAAACAAATACAGTACCTTCAGTGGTGTAGCAAGATAATATGTGTTGGAGCAAAAAGGAGGAAAGAGTTAGGGAATTCACCAGGTGAGGGTGCCCAGAGAACTCTGATGGGGCCCTTAATAAGGACAAGAACAACTTTCCCCATGCCCCAAAACATTGTTGATTTCTGGGGGAGAAGTTTCTTCCTGCTCCCAAGCAGAGTCACTTTGATGCCTCAGCCAAGAGGAGGCCTAGGGCTGCTCTGCTCATTTGGAAAAGGATTGTTTTTAAGGGGTGATTGCTATCATGGGACAAGAGGGCAACTCCTGATCCCTGGTTCTGTCTTCTAGCTGTGCCTGCCCTTTTCAAACAAGCCCTGGAGAACACAGAGATGGAAGAGGGAAAATCTGTCTCCTTGCGCTGTGAACTCACAAAAGCTGATGCCACGGTGGTGTGGAAGAAGGGAGAAACCACCCTCCAGGCAAGTGCCAAATATGAAATGAAGCAGAAGGGGACAGTGGCAGAGCTGGTGATTCATAATGCAGAGCCAGAAGATGCGGGAAGATACACCTGTGACACTGGAGACCAGCAGACCACAGCCCAAGTCAAAATCCATGGTAGGAATAAGACACCTCCTTGTGACCATTTTTTGTTGTTCTTGCCATGGTCCTGCTAGCTCCTGCACAGTTATAGTGAGCATTCAGGGGAAAAAAGGGATCACTGCATAGAACAGGCAGCTCTGGCTGGGTCCGTTATGTTATTTCTTTTTCTAGGACAGGAATGTGATGTGAAAACATCACAATCAACTACCCTTGATAACGAAATACCTTTCCTTTTCTCTGAAATAACTGTTCTGCTTTCTGCTCTGGGCAGAGGAGCTGGTCTGAGCTCTAAGACAGCAGGTAAGAAGGGCCTTGGTTATGCATTTTGTTACAAAATATGCAGCTCTTTCCTGTGCTTATTCAGCAACTTTTTCACACATCTGTGACCAACAGCGTTTGGGCAGCAGGGAGTAATTGCTTCAATATTCTCATTATTGGAAAATAATTATTTTTGTTTCCTCTCAAACCCATGGTGTGATGTTGTAGATGGAAGCAGAGTCCTGAGAGTGCAGGTAGGTCAGAGCCTATTAGCTGTGCCAGGAGGATTTGTTTTGGTTTTAAGTCCCGTATGAGGTCACCAGTTGGTAACGATGCTCCCGAAATAAAATGAGAATGCTTCATTCCTCAGCCATCTCTGTGCTCATCAAGGAAGAGCTGGAAAGTGTGGAAGCTGTGGAAGGTGGGATGGCCACCCTGAGATGCCAGCTGAGCAGAGAGGCCCCCGTGGAGTGGAGGAAGGGGCACACTCTCCTGCGGCCGAGTAACAAATACAGGATGAGGCAGGAGGGCACAGTGGCTGAGCTGCTGATCCACGACCTGGACCCAAAGGATGCTGGAGACTACACGTGTGTTGTGGGGAACCAGAAAACCACAGCAGCCTTAGCAGTGAATGGTAAAATGTCAGAAATAACCTGTGAAACTCTGGAACGTTGCTGTCCATCTCTTCCCTCCTGCTGTCTGTACATTCCCTCACAACACCTGCCTTATGTCCTGCTTCTACTTTTTCCATCCTTCTGCTTTTTCATGTTGCCACCTCACTCCTTTCCCCAGCATCTCTCCACAATCAGCTTTCATCATACCCAATTCTGTGTGTGTGTGTGTTGTATTGTCTTCTCACCTTCCCTCAAGTGAAGGGTGCTGAAGTGCACAGATGTTTTCCTGGATTAGTATGGAAGCATAAGATTCCTTGGGATTTTCTGTTGGGAAGGGTTCATCGTGTTTAATGACGAGGATGCTAGTCATTAATATGCATGATCCCAGGATAAGTTTAAGGACGAGGGCATTGGAAGAAGGCTTGGGTGACAAATCACAATTCAGCCCCTGAGCAGAGTTGCTGGGCAGGCCCTCGGGTTGCAAACCCTTTTGTTCTGCATCTCCCAGCCCTGCCCATCCGTTTCAAACAAGAGCTGAAGAACGAGGAAGGCACGGAGAGCGGGACGGCCACGCTGCAGTGCGAGCTGAGCCGGGCCGGCTCGGTGCACTGGAGGAAGGATGGGAAGGCTCTGGTGCCTGGCAGCAAGTACAAAATGAGGCAAGAAGGGCGTTTTGTTGAGCTGGTCATCCAAGACCTGGATTTGATGGATGCTGGGAGCTACACCTGCGTGTGTGGAGACCAGAAGACAACAGCTGCTTTGAGAGTGAATGGTAACTGTTCTATCCGTATTTGTCATTAAGCCCCAGATTTATTTCTTGGCATTTTCTGCTCATCTGAAGCTTGGTCAGGGTGATTTCTTAGAGGTTTAATGTCCTCTCTGCCAAAGAGTTGCCCTACTAGGGAATAATCCTTGTGCTTTTTGTTTGTTTGTTTGTTTTGAGACAGCACAGCTGTGTTGTAGATTGTTTTCTGTGATTTCTCTCTACTCTAGAAGGTTTTACCCCCCTTCCAACTCTACCCACCTAGCAGGAATGCATTTTGGTTCAATTTATACATTGCAGACCTGTAACTCACAGCAGAGTCCAGTTCATTTCCATCTAGTGCTGATTCCTTCTCTGTTGGTATTGCATCCTTCAGCCTTGCCCATCCTCTTCCAAGAAGAACTGTTGAACAAGGAAGCCACAGAGGGGCAGGCAGTCACTTTGCACTGTAAACTGAGCAAATCGGCCCCGGTCGAGTGGAGGAAGGGCAATAAAGTCCTCAAGCCCAGTGAGAAATACAAAATAGAGCAGGAAGGCCCCTTTGTGGAGCTGACAGTCCGGGATTTGGATTTGACAGACACTGGGGATTACAGCTGTGTGTGTGGAGATCAACAGACTACAGCTGCCTTGACAGTAAATGGTAAAAAGAAATTCTCAGCACGTGCCCCAAGTAAACCCCTATGATTCCAAACTCTCTTCCTCTTTTTCTCCTCTTTCATCTAGTCCCTGCGTACTTTCCATCCTCCCTCCTGCTGATTAATTTTTCTATCCCATTTTCCTTCCCTCTCTCTCCTTTCACCCCATGCCTTCTTGATGTGCTGTTTGTCTTCCGAGGTGCTATTTAAGAATGACAAGTGGAGCACAGGTCCCCAGCTCAGCACAACCTCCCTAGTCCAGTACAGATACTTGTTTATAAGTTTTCCCCTAGGGATTGCCTTAAAAGTGGGAATAATATTTACTTCTTGTAACTTAGACTGTTACACTTGTTATTCATCAGAGGAACAAGTTTTCATCATGTGATGCTACACAGGGACTTTCCTAATGAAAAATTGCCTCCTGCTATTCCCTGCCTTTTTTTTCCACTAATTTGGGTTAAACTCCTCCCAAGCATGTACTTTATTTCTGCAGAACAGCATGAATGTAACTCTTCTGTTTTAAGGGACTCTATAAAAGTACAAACAGTGCCATGAGTCAAGCATTTCCATAGAGCTGCTGTTTTTCTGAAGAGAAACAAAATGCTCTGGGTCTCCTATTGAAATATCTCTAATTTTAACCCCTTGATTTTATGGTGTATAAAGTAAGGGGTAGATGGCATGTCAACTGAAGTTGCAGATAGGCAGACTTGCTTTTAAAGCAAGTTTTAAAGCATGACGACAACAAAAAATTAAAAATCAGGCTGATATCTCTTTTGAAATGTTAGAGGTTGGAACAAAATCCTGGAGTGTGAAGAAGGTCTTGTGGCTTCAGTGACAGGTTCAGGGAGACAAGAGAAAAGAGTGAGTAGGTGATGGGTCAGGCTTTCTCAGCTTTGATGCCATGTCCCTGTTGCATTTACTCTGCAGTCCTTCCTGCTCTTTTCACCAAAGAACTGACAGATGAAGAAGGCACAGAAGGTAAAAGTGTCTCTCTGCACTGTGAGCTGAACAAGGCTGCTGCTAAAGTGGAGTGGAAGAAGGGCTTCAAGATCCTCAAACCAAGTGACAAGTATAAAATGAAACGTGAAGGTGTCGTTGCTGAGCTTATAATCCAAAATCTAGACACGACGGATACTGGGAATTATTCCTGTGTGTGTGGAGACCAGCAGACTATGGCAGTTTTAACAGTACATGGTAAACCAAACAAAGCCAGACACATGCTAAAAGTAACTCCTGTTTTCTCTGTTCACTTGAACAGACACCTGGTTACCCTTCCATCTTTTTCCTTCTGCCAGACTCTTATCCACAGCTTACTGGTGCCAGTGGTGCTCCCAGTGGTGTCAGTGCAGCTGGGGTGTATGGCACAAGGAGTTCCATTAAGGCCCATCAGTTAAAGTACCTTGAAAGTTCCTTTATTTGACTCTACATATGCTCAAGCTCAATAAAATGGGTTGCCTTGAAGGGACTAGGACTTAGGGGTTTTAAGGTTTCATAACATTCCCATGGATTAGGTTATTCCTTGGAATCTTACTCCCATACCCCATTCTTGGAACAACAAGGTGCCTTTATACACATGGGGCAGTTGTCACTGTGTTCAGTTACTCTCCTGTGTAAAACAAGCCCAAACATTCTAAGGAACAACTGTTCCCAGGGAAAACTTTGATTTTTATTGCAACTGGCATGTGCAAAAGGATATGCCAGTTAAGGTGAAAATGCTTGTTTTCCCACCATGGATTGAAATGAGCAATTTCATTTCAAACTGACATTTAGAATGAAACTTCAGCCTTTCAGTTTTAAGGCACAATGTATTTTCATTTGTTTTAGTGTGTGCAAACTTAGCAAAAATCATCCTATTGTAGTTTTTAAAGTCACATCAGGAAATCATTTTTTCCCCCAGAAATTTCAAGTGTTTGTTGTTTTTTTTTCTTGAAATTTCCCATGGAAAAATTAGGTTTTCTTATTCTGTCTGTATTGATCTATGACTCTGAATATGTGCAAAAATGTCTCTTTGAATTACTGCAAGCATTGAATCCTCTCCTGGTGATGAATTTCTTTCCTAACACTGATTCGTGGAAACTATTGAGAATCTATGTTCTTGTATTGATAAATCAGGTCAAGATAAGAGGGAAAAGGAAAATTAAACATCCATGGTTAACTTAAACTCTTCAGGGCATTGGGTCTCACTGCTGATGTTGCTGTCCTTCAGCTCTGCCAGCATTTTTCAAGGAGGGATTGAAGAACAGAGAAGCCACAGATGGTGCCACAGCCACTCTGCACTGCGAGCTGAGCAAGGTCGGTGTCCCAGTGGAGTGGAAAAAAGGGGACAAGACTCTCAAGCCAAGTGATAAATACAGGATGAGGCAAGAAGGTGCTGCTGCAGAGCTTATGATTCGAGATCTGGTGGTGGAAGATACAGGAGAATACACCTGTGTGTGTGGAGATCAGAAGACCTCAGCTGTCTTGACAGTCCATGGTAAAAAGCTCTTCTCTGCTTCGACAGCAGTATCTCAGGGTGATTCCTTTCCTATCAGAAGTCTCTTTCCCACTTGGTTTGATGTTTGAATTCATAATTTCCCGGCTTTGCTGGCTGTGTTTCATCCATCTCCCACTGTCCGTCGGTTTGAAACTGGGGGCTTTGTGGCAAAGAAGAGATGTGAGAATTTATCCTCTTGGCTTTCACTTCATAAAAGTGAAGAAGGCCCCCGTAGGTAAGGCCAAAAGTAGGCAGAGCACCAGCAGGAAGCTTGTTCTCACAGGGTTTGTCCTCACATCCCACTGGTGCCAGCAGACTTTGGTGCTGAACTTGAAGGAATGATCTTTAAAAAAGCTGAGTCCAGTTAGAGATTTTTCCATTTAGGAATGAAAGACTATCCTTCTTTGTGGGACAGTGATCTATTTTGCTGAGGAAATAGTACTTCCCCCCCCCCAAAAAAAATAATCCAAATACAAACCAGTACTCTGCTGGTCCTGATTTAGGGAGTAATGGGGCAGGTCTTGTTCCTGCTTCTGCCATGGGGAACAGCAACAAGCTTCAGTTGTTGGGCAGTCCATGTATAGTTCATATATAGCTCAAATAGATGTGAGAATAGTTTTTATTTGAAATGTATCTTAAGGATAAGATGCTGCTAAGGACAGGGGTAGAACTGTGGAGGCAAAACTCTCTTCTCAGATTTTCTGCACACTTTTACTTCCTCTTCTTTCTCTCAACTGGAGGTTCCTCCCCTCCTCTGACATGTTCCTCTCTGTGTAAGTCGCTTCCTTTTTATTTTGGTGTCGCAGCACAAGGCAATTTGCTGACTGCTGCTAGAAAAAATCTCTGTATTCCTGATGTTAGAAGTATTATGGCCTTGAAAATCAGGGCTTAAAGGTGCACCTGGAGTGATATTACTTTTTTGTTGTTGTTGTTACTGTTTCTGAACAAGAAAGATAAATGATGGTGTCAGAAAATGTAGAGATCTCCAGCCAGCAGTGTTGTCATCTGGGAGAATGACTTTTAATGAAAAATCAGGTCATTCATGTCCAAGATAGATGATTTAATACTGAAACAGGTAGGGAGGACCACTGGAATCAGCTGGGGAATTATGAATGTGCTGTGTAAGTCAACAGTAAAGACAGGTCATGGTGGCAATAGTGAGATCCTGAAGTAGTTTTCTAATAGATGCAGTTTCTAAGGCTTGATGTGAGGGTGGTGAGACCCTGGGACAGGTTGCCCAGGGAAGCTGTGGCTGCCCCATCCCTGGCAGTGTTGAAGGGCAGGTTGGATGGGGTTTGGAGCAACCTGGTCTGGTGGGAGGTGTCCCTGTCATGCAGGTGGGTTGGAACTGGATGATCTTTAAGGTCCCTTCCAACTCAAACAATTCTGTGATTTTATGATTATTTTTTTTTCCCTGTAATAGTGAAGGACTGGCCTTAGGACCTAGTTCTAATTTTCTCAAGGTCTGGTCAAGGGTTTTGATGACTCTCTGTTTATATTATACCCTGTAGCCTTGCCTGCACTGTTCAAAACACAACTTGTCAATGTGGAAGCCACAGAAAATGGAACAGCTGTTCTGCAGTGTGAGTTAACCAAACCCACCTCGGTGGGCTGGAGGAGAGGGCAAAAGGTGCTTGAGCCCAGTGAGAAGTACAAAATGAGGCTGAAGGACACCATTGCTGAGCTGACAATCCATACTCTGGAGGAACAAGATGCAGGAGATTACACATGTGTTTGCGGAGACAAGATGACAACTGCATCCCTGGTGGTGCATGGTAAAATATTTAAGTTTAATAGGGATTTTCTTCTTTGGCCTCTGTGATCTCAGGCAGGATAACTAACTGAGCTTGATCCCATCTATTATCTTAAATTGTTATGACAACTGTATCTGGGAATATCTTTTACTGAAAGTCCTTCTCTTAGGACTGAGAAATAGCACCATACAATCTTCTCTGTCCCTGTTCTTTCATGTTAATGGGACCTGGAAGCAGACGATGAAGACCCTGGTGAAGTTGTGCATAGCACTTTCAGTATTTCCATCAATTCATTTCTCTAGGCTTATCACTGAGAGTTCACTTGTTTTTCTTTCAGTGGAACTGAAAGTTGCTCTGTTATGGTAACAGCTGAGAAAGGCAGGTGAGAATGACCCATTGTAGCCTGGAATATTAAATAACCTCGTTCATTTTAAGTGTTTGTCTGATCTTAAGACAGAGCTGTGCATAGCTCCTTCAAATCCTGGGATAGCTTTCTGTTGTTATATCTTAAGATGTCTTTAGATCATACCTTCCAGTAGTGAAATGGTAGTTTTACAACCCTGATTTCCAAATCAGTTGTGATGTTCTGAGTGTGGTGTGATGCAAAGGGTAAGGCAGGGACACCCCTGAAGTCATCGTTTGCCTCTGAGATACCATGTAGTCTAAAACTTTTAGAGATTAAAGGGTTTTAATCCAGTGGAGCAGTCAAGACACAGTGTTTTTCTCTTCACCTGTGATCTTCAGCCCTTCCTCCACATTTTAAAAAAGAGCTGAAGAATGTGGAAGCCACAGAAAAGGGCACAGCCACTTTCTGCTGCGAACTGAACAAGCCCACAGCTGCCGTGGGATGGAGGAAAGGAGACAGAGCCCTGGAGCCAAATGACAAGTTCACCATGAGATGTGAGGGCACAATTGCAGAGCTGGTGATCCACGAGTTAGAGCTGACAGATGCTGGAGATTACACATGCTGTTGTGGAGAGCAGAACACCACTGCTACACTAAAAGTGAATGGTAATATTTAAATATATATATATATAAGAAAAATAGAATCACTTAAATGGATTATTTTCAACCAGCTGCTTATTTTTTAAGAGCACAGTAGTATCAGCTTTGAAATTGCAGTCCCCTTTTCTGATTATTTTAACAATATGTGGTTGGACATGGACATAAATGCCTGAATGCACAAGTCAGTGTAAGGCCAAGATCAGGAGTTTGTTGCAAAAATTTCAGATGTTCTTCTTGGTATTAACTCATTTCTTTGATGTTCATGTTCAGTAGTTGCTAAAAAAAAAGAAAACCATATTGTTGTGATCTTGGTTGTAAAGATGCTACAGTCCTAAAGTTGAGGATATTGCAATTTGGCAATGAGATCTTTTTGATACAGTTTTCAGTGCTTCAGAACAATTTGGTGTTTGAGTTCTGGTAGACCACTATCTGAGGAGAAACCTCATGGAAAAATTAGATTGATGCCTCAGATATGTTTTCATTTATGAACTTTTCAGTAATGATTTGCATTCTGGTAGAACTTAGACACTCTAGTGAGGTTTCCTTTTCCACCATGGTAGGCGATGCCCAAAGTAAGGTTGGGCTCAGTCTTGCAGAGTCTGAAGAAGCTGAGTCTGATGGGTTCTCCAAGTCATGCCGTAAACCATGTAATTGAAAAAGTTCTGACTTCTCAATAAGATGATTCCCATCTTTCCAAAGTCACTGTTTCAAGGGTCTCAGAGTGGTTACCAATCCTACTTCATTAGGGAAGGCTTCGGTTGTCACATGTGGTTGACAGACCACAGAGAAACTGTCACTTGAATAGCTGCCATGGTCCTACATTCTCCTCATTTTGAACTCCTCAGCCTTGCCTGCACACTTCAAGGAAGAGCTGAAGAATGAAGAAGCCACAGAAGGTGGAACAGCCATGCTACAGTGTGAGCTGTCTAGGGCTGCCTCTGTGGAGTGGAAGAAGAAACACAAAGTGCTCAAACCGAGTGAAAAATACACGATGAGACTGGAAGGGGCTACAGCTCAACTGCTGATCCATGCTTTAGAAGTCAAGGATGCTGGAGAGTATACCTGTGTGTGTGGAGATGAGAAGACCACTGCAGCACTGACAGTGCATGGTAAAGAAAACAGAAATGAGACATTTTGGTGTGCTGTTTCTCCTGTTTCCTCTGAAAGCCTCAGTATTGGCACACAGCGAGTTCTTTATCTAATCTTGCCATCATTAATTCTGTCAGTAATAGATTTTCTTGGTTTTATTGTGATTTTTTTTCTACCTAGATTTGCGGTTCTATTGATCACACTAACATTTTCACTTTGTTCTCCTTTCTCACGTTAGTGCATGGCTGCACTGCCCTGCACCTCACTGCAGGCTGAAGGGTTCCATGTGCTTGCATTCCTTGTCCTGTTTTACTTACTTTTTCACTTGAGCCTAGAGAAATGGAGCAGCAGGAACATTCTTACTTCAGCACACAAAACTTGATTAATGCAACTTTTTAAATTATAACTCTGACCAAGGATCTTGCAGATTTGTATTCTGGTGTTGCAGAACAGTCAGTACTTTAGTATGAGAGTACTTAATGGTCCACAGTCAAATTCATCTGCAACTTCACTTGGAAGAGAGAAAACTTAATTTCCAGTACTAACATAGGCCAGTAGAAATAATTCCACCATCTTTCTCACCCGGAAATTCAGTAGGTCAATGAGGTGATTTCTTATAACTGCCCAGACATTTTCATCTTGCTATCTACCAATAAAACAAAATGGGTTTAGTCCTGAACTTCCAATTTAATAATGGAAAATGGAATTTGAAAAGATCTCTACAGGTCATCTAGTCCATCCTTGAGCCCTGAGACACCATCATGTTTACCTAACCTCACTCCAGTCCTGAAGAACTTGCAGTTCCCCTAGACACTCATTCCACTGTCTAGCCATCAGTACTGCCAGGAAGTTCTTCCTCATTTCAACAGGAGTCTTTCTTGAGTTGTTTTAAGTCATGACTTCTTGTTCCATATCCTGTAGGAATGGAGAAAAGTTTGCAGCTTTCCTCTCTGTGAAAGATTTAAAAACTTCTATCATACCTCCTTTCTGTCTTCTTTTCTACTGACCTAAGCACCTTCAATCCCTTCAGTATTTCTCCATAGGTCACATTTTCTAGACTTCAGCTCAGCTCATCTTTATTGCTTCTGGACGATCTTCAGCTAATCCATATCTTTCTAGATGTGCCACAAGTGCCCCATCTGAGGCTTTGCCAGACTGAAGTAGGATGAAAGGGCTTCATGTGTCTTGCATAAGACACTCCATTTTATATATCCCTATTATGATGTTGACTTCATTCACATCAGAATTGCATTTTTGACTTGCATTTGCTCCGTGATCCCTTTTGGGGTTACAGCCCCAAATATCTCCATGCAGATCTGCAGCTTATTGTTCCCCCTCTTGTATTTGGGTTGTTGATTGTTCCCAAATGTAGTATTTCACATCTGCTCTTGTTGAATTGTAGCCTATTTTTTCACCATTGCTTCATCAGGATCTTCTCTATCCCAATCTTATTTAACAAAGTGCTTTCAGCTTCTCTCCCTTCCCAGCTTGAGACCATATGCAAGGTTAATGACTACTCTGCATTTCATCGTTCAAGTCACTAAAGAAAATTCACTAAAAGAAAAATACTGAGCTCCAGAACACTGAGGACTTCTGCTCAACTCATTCTTTCATTGTCAGTGTAAATCACAGCTGAATAGTCACTCTTTGACTGCGGTTTTCAGACTGGTGGTACTTCCTGCCATAGTTCCACCTATAGCTAAATCAGAGTAAGAGCTTTATCAAAATAAAAGTGTACAGCATATACAGTGTCTATCAGTGAAGCTTGTTAACCTAAACCAAGAAAAATTACACTGATCCAGTCCTTCATGAAGACAGAAGCTGTTGGCACATCCTTGTGTATTGCTATAATATTTTTCAGACAACTAAAACTCAACTTGGAATGGCCATAATTCCTGGAATTCTCTCTCTGCCCCTCCCCTCTTCTCCCTTTTTCCAAGTCAAGCACTGTATGTGGGATTCAGCTTGTAGGTCAGTACTGGTGAGTGTTTCTAAATTCCCACTGTTGTCAGTGGAGATCTGATGAATGGAAACCAGGGAGACGGCTTCGGTGGGTCCATTGACTTGGTCTGGACCTTTCTTGACTTTCCAGGGAACTTAGTTTACTCTTAGTTTACCTGCTGGGAATTAAATGTGTGTATTTCAGACTGTGTGATGTTCTCCACCTCCAAGTTTTCATTTTTTTCCTATCCTTGTTGAGCATCACCCCTTCTCTTTGATTTCTCCAGTGTAACTGCTGATGTCTGGTATTGGATGATGCTGTGCCTTAAGTATTCCATGAAAAATTTTATCTCACCAAGGAGTTTTGAAAATATTCAGCTTATTTTTATGTTCTCTAATCTCTTGTTTTCTTATTCTAGCCAGAATTCCCATTCCTTTCCTAGCTATCATTAACTTTAAATATTAAAGAAGAAAAAGGAACTAAACACTTCAGCTCCCTCCATCTGAAACTTGGTAGTTCAACCACCCTGAAACTTGGTAGTCCAACTTCTCCCTCATTTTTTTTCTTCCTTTTAATCTGTCTACAGAATTTCACTGTATTATTTTCTCTACTGTCTAGTTCAGGCTGACCAGGTGTCCTGCCATTTGCATGCTAATATTCTGATGTTGCCAAGAGCCTCAAGTTGAACTGTGAGGAGAGGACGTGGAAAGCCCCTGGAGTAGTGATCTCCCCATCCAGTTGCTGGATGCAAATGCTTACAGTTGTGTCTGGAGATGTTTGGTATCAGCACCATTTTGCAGACTGCCTTTCAGCCTTTGGTCTCTTTGCCCATCAGGTGACAGATTCCAGGAAAGGTGAACTGCCCTCGACCTTCTTGGGACATGCAGGAATCCTGGCCTTTCTCCTCTTACATCCTTTACTATTCCTTTTACACTCAATTAAACCTCTTGTATTTTATAGGTCTCTTGAGTTTCAGGACATTTAAGAATTGGTGATTTAAGCAGGCTCTTTCTGATGATCCTTGGAGTGAGATAGTCTTTGTAATTATCTCCTTCCTATTGTTTCTTTGAGAAGCTTTCTTCTCTGTTAAACTATCTTGTCCTGTAAGTGTATTTCTGCTCGATCATAAGTAACAATTCTGGAACTACTGAAGCTCTCTTTCTTGTTGCCTCCAGAATTTCCTTCTGCTCTTCTCCATCATTATTTATCCTAAAACCTATGAGCTTTCCTGCCTCATTATTGGTGTCTGCCCAATTATCCTCCACATCTGTATTCTCAAATATTTATTTCTCCCTGGTCAGTCAGGAATTTTAGATCCTCCTCTCCTTTCTTTTATATCTGCTCTATACCCAAAAGTGATTCCCATCCTATTCCAAAGACTTGGCAGACATTGTCCCATCCTACTCATCCCATGGTACATATTAGCACATTGCTGTGCTTTGAATGATCCTATCAGTTATTCCAAAAGGGTTTGGGGTGTTAAGATTCACCTGAACTTCCTGGTGTGAATGTCTTAGAGCAGATTTCCACAATGGAGAAATCATCCTTTTCACTTTTAATTACACCCAGGCATTTTTCAGAGGTCTCTCTGGTTCTACTCTCATTCTGACTCTGGGGCTAGGTCCACAGGCATCCTTAACACTTCAGGTAAAACCTTTTCATTTTTTCCTTGAGCTTTTTTTCCTGATCATGGTGTAACCTGCTATATCAATTTCCTGGACTAAATTATACTGATAAAGTTACAGTTTTAAAATGAAGTTTTCTCATTGGTTATTCTCCATACATGTCTAAACCAATCAGCAAATTTACCTGCTCTATAAGATTTTTTGTGTCTATGATGCAAATTAGTGTTCTCTTTCTGTCAGATGATCCTTGTGTCCATAACTAGGCACAGATAGGTATTGGTATAAATCAGGTTCATTTGTTTTTGGTGACCAAGAACTGTTTGTCATGGAAATGTTTGCTCCTCTGTTCCTCAGCCCTTCCCCCTCTCTTCAAAAAAGAGTTAAGAAATGAGGAGGCCATGGAGGGTGAAGCAGTTACTCTGCACTGTGAGCTGACCAAGACTGCTTCAGTGGAGTGGAAAAAAGGATACACAGTCCTCAAACCTAGCGAGAAGTACAAAATGAGGCAGAAGGATGTCACTGCAGAACTGGTGATCCATGATCTGAATGAGAGTGATGCTGGTGACTATACCTGCGTGTGTGGGGATGAGCAGTCCACAGCTTCCTTAGCCATACATGGTAATAACCAGGTTCATCTAGACTTATCATTCCTTACTGATGAGCTGATGGTTGTATTATTTTTGTTTCTGCTTCTTATCTCTGCGTGGTTCCTCTGAGTGTCACAGTCGTGGGAATTAATTTGCATTTTGTGATTTAAGGGAAAACCTGCCACCCCAATTCCTTGTACAAAGTGGTTTTAGGGCCTAACCCTTAAAGCAGATGTGAGATTAGGCCCAAAGACAGCTCTCCACTGCTGCCCTCATCTGTCCTTCTCCCCAGCTCCCTGTGTCCCTGACCAGGAGGCTGTGTGTGCTGCTCCATGTTAACCCTCTGTCTGTTGCATCCTCAGCCCTGCCTGCACACATCAAGGAAAGCCTGAAGGACCAGGAGGTAACAGAAGGCCAAGCAGCCTCTCTGCGCTGTGAGTTGACCAAGGTTGCTCCAGTAGAGTGGAGAAAGGGAAGCAGTTTGCTCAAAGCCAGTGACAAGTACAAAATGAGACAGGAGGGCACAGTCATGAAGCTGCTTATCCAGGAGGCAGAACTGAAAGATGCTGGAGAATACACTTGTGTGTGTGGAGAACAGCAGACAACGGCTGCCTTGACCGTGCATGGTAAACAGCATCTGTGTGTTCTTATATATGGTGTTTTATATATGGTGTTTTTCTCTATCAGCTCATCCCTGTTTTGTGTTCACCTGTGGCTGAATCTGCTGTTTGTTTATTTATTTTTTTTTTAATTTGTAAGCTGACTGTAAGACCTACTTGTCTGCTTTTCTGTGGTTTGTCCGGTGTCCCAGAATTATGGGGAAAGGAAATTCTTTCCACCCTGAAACTGTCCCTGTTTCTGTCCCACCACCCTCATCACCTGTGCACCAAGTGTCATTTTTAATGCCCTCTGTCCGTTTTGTGACCTTCAGCCCTGCCTGCACTTTTCAAAGAAGAACTAAAGGACCTGCAAGCCATGGAAAGCCAAACAGCCACTCTGCGTTGTGAGCTGACCAAGGCTGCATCTGTCTCATGGAAGAAAGGAAACAAAATACTCAGGGCAAGTGAAAAATACATCCTGAGGCAGGATAATGCCCTTGCTGAGCTGGAAATCCAGGACCTAGAGCTGCAGGATGCAGGAGATTACACCTGTGTGTGTGGAGACCAGCACACCACGGCTTCTCTGACAGTGAATGGTAAATTCATCTTGCAGATGCCTGTTCATTGTTTGTTTCCTTGAAACACCCTGGTGCTCTGATGAAGTGTTCACCTGACAGCTTTTTCCTAGGGATTATTCTGAGTTCAGTAAAGGAGAACTTCTTGTTCTGACATTTAAGTTTGGTCACGTATTCCTGAAGATGAAGGGAGATGTGGATGTGACTATTTCTCCATGCAGGCATGTTGTAAATTTAAGGGATTGGTGCCTAAGTTAGACCTGCTGAGATGTCCTGCCCCAACCTGTTGTACTTTGACCTGTCTGCTCAGTATTTCTTTTCTCACTGTCTCTGCTGGATTTAGTTTTCCAGATCATTGTAGTGATAACCTCATCCTCAATGACTGAAGTACCTGACTTGGCCAGATCTGAACTTCAGTTGAAAATTCATGATGCTGATGGCAAAAGCAGAGTTCCTAGTTTAAATGCACTATCTATTGACTTTCCATTCCCAGCCCTGCCAGTGCTTTTCAAGGAGGAACTGAAGAATGAAGAAGCCCAAGAAGGAGCATCTGCCTCTCTACATTGTGAATTAACCAAACCAGCTCCAGTACAGTGGAAAATAGGGTCCAAAGTGCTCAAAGCAAGTGACAAATATCAAATGAGGCAGACTGGCACCACTGCAGAGCTGGTCATTCATGACCTAGAAGTAAAAGATGCTGGAGATTACACCTGTGTGTGTGGAGACCAGAAGACAACAGCAACTTTAACAGTTCATGGTAAAAAGGCCTGATTACATTTATTAAATAGCTCTGTAGATAGACATCAACAAGAAATTCAGCTGTTTCTGTCTTGGGTCAGTAACTTTGCTTTTCCCCCTTTCCCTTAATTCTATATGTAGCTCATTTCTCACTGAGGAAGACTAGCTTAGGGCAAATTTGGGGGTCATCTGTCCCCCTTTAAAAGGTGAAAATGAAATGTTTCTTTCTTTCCAAGTCACCTCTTCTTGGACATTTATATTTTCCAGCTCTTTCCCCCCTTTATCCCCCTGCTTCAGCCAATCACAGTTTCCTCCACAACACAGGTGGTCTGTCAGGCCCTCTGCTCTCGTCTCCTTGTCCAAAGGACAAGTGAGGCTTGGGGCAGCAGATGGAGGAGGAGATGTTGCTGTGCTGGCTGACCTGGCTGACACTTGCTCCAGGGGGTACAAGAACCTTTAAGTAATTCAGACATGCAAATGATAGAAGAGTTTCCATTTCAGAGCTTGATACTCCTAACCTAGGTTTGAAAGATGCAGGAGCCTACACCTCTCTGTGTGGGGGTCAGGACTACCTTAACAGTTAAGTATTAAAAAAGAAACCCAAGCCCACAGATTATCAGCAGTTATTCTCTTCTTCATCATACCAGCTCCCAATAAAGAAATCCAGAAATAAACCCTGGGTTACATTAATAACCTCTTTACCACATATTCTGCTCTCCTCTCATCAGTGAGTAACAGTTTTAATAGAGTAGCATCCTTGACTATGAGCAACTTGGTCAAAGAGACCCAGTCATGTCCCCTCCAGCTTTTTCCAAAAACTTCTGATCCTCCCCTGAGGCTTTTCTGAGACACAGACTTTCTTTTCTGAGACATAGATTTTTCTGAAGCATTTGGGGTATATTTGTACCCTTATACAGTAGCTGCACACAAGGCACATTTGTGGGTAAATGTTCATAATTATTTTTCAAGCAGGTTATTTCCTGCAGGTTGCTCTGTCTTTGAGTTTTAATTTTCAAAATGGGAAATTGGCAGAACTTGAAATTTCAATTTAAAACTAGAAGTGAATTGATTTTGAAATCTGACTGATTTCCTGTTGGTGGGTCTGTCAGTTTTTAGTAAAAACAGATCAGAAGATAACAACACCCACCTTCACTAAATCATAGCTGTGTAAGTAAAATAGTACTGTATCCAGCAGTGTTAGTTGTGAGTGTTGTTGACCCACAATCAGGATCTTTATTCTTCTTCCACTATGAAAAATAAGAGACACCCAGGGGATCGGTCCCTTACAGTGCATGAAACCACATCACACTTGAAGAAGGATGCTCAGGGTTTCTGAACTTGGCTAAGTATGTTTATGATAGGCTGGGAAAGAGAGGCATGAAAGGGAATAATCCCAAGCATGAAAAAGAAATAAGGATTTTAATTCTGGTTTTCTGGTGACCATTTGTCCGTGTTGCATCCCTCAGCTCTGCCACCGCTCTTTAAGGAGGAGCTAAAGAACAAGGAAGCAAAGGAAGGTGGAGAAGCCTCCCTACACTGTGAGCTCTCCAAGGCTGCTCCAGTGGAGTGGTGGAAGGACCAGAGGATTCTCAAAGCAAGTGAGAAATACAAAATGAGACAGGAAGGGACCAAGGCAGAGCTGGTGATTTGCGGAGTATCTGAGGAGGATGCAGGAGAATACACCTGTGTGTGTGGAGAGCACCAGACCATGGCTGTCTTAACAGTACAGGGTAAAAACCATGTTTCCTAACAGGAAAAGTCTGTCCTCTGCTGTAAGGTGTTCAGTTTTCCATGTCTGTTTGATCACACTTATTAACTGAAGTTCCATTCACTTGAAAGCATTCCCTGCCTTTGATGACCTGCAGGCTGGGTATATTAGAAAATACCTCCCTGCCTTTTCCTGTGCTGTCCTTTGTCTTTTCCTTTCCTTAAGCACAAATCTGCTATCCTTTCATCCTTCCCTCTGGCATTCCTTTCCTAGCATATAAACTCTCTCTTCTTTTGTCTTTCCCTTCCTGCATTTATTCTCTAAAACACAAATATGCTTATTCCTGGTTGTTCCTTTCTGGCATTCTCAATACCTACCATTTTACTGGAGTATAGAGTAGAATAAGACTGTATTAGTTACAATTTCTTCTGTCCTGAGTTATGTTTATACTGGGTTTTGTGCCCATAACCTCTGTCCTAATGCATAGATTGGCACTGGAAGACAGATTTTCTAAGCAGGAAAGAATAAATTCTTTCTGTGACCTCCTCCTGCTCTTATTTTGTTGGAAGAACCAGTTGCTGTGCAAAGAAAAGTGGTGCTTCAGCTTCTGGAGGAGGGAAATGTGCCAGATCCTAGAGACTAAACCTGGTTTCTAGCCTGGATGTTTTAACTTAGCTGCACTGCTATGGAGTGAGACTAAATTTGAGATCTGAGGTATCCAACCTTGTTGCCCAGGAGGAATATCCCATAATCCCACTTAGTTATTAGAGAGACATATGTTAAGATTACCAAATTTATTCCAAGTTCACAACTTGCAGTGGGTACTAGAATTGTGTTCAGTGAGGACAATGTGTTCTGAGACAAGAAGGCAGGTTGGGAATCAGCATCTGGGGATTTTCTTTGAGGTCGAGAAGAATCTGTGAGGCCTGGCTGCATCTTTTCAAGGGTACCTCAAGGAAGAAGGAGAGATGATGAGTAAGGAGCTGTGTCATCACTCAGAGCTCATCAGGGAAGCTCTGTAAGTAGAAAAAGAGAGCACAAAGACCTGAAGTTTGTGAAAGACTCCAACTCATGTGAACTAAGGATGTCAGAGTTTATATTCTTAATTCATTTTACACGCAAACTTGCAGGAAGCAGGTGTAAATCTCTTGAGGACAGTGCAATTTTGCTAGTAGGAAGCCAGCATAAACCCAAAAAGATTAGGGTATATATTCTCAGTATGATTTTTTCATTTCTCTCACCTCTCTGCTTCTGATGCTCACCTTTCCATAACCTTCACAACTTTCCTCTGTCACTTCCTACTCTCTCCCATCCCTGGAGATATCCTCAGTTTATAATACTTTTTACCTGCATCCTTCAGCTGTGCCTCCATTTTTCCAAGAAGAAATGACCAGCAAGGAAGCTGTAGAAGGTGGAATGGCCACTTTGCACTGTGAGCTCAGCAAGGCATCTGCCAGTGTTCAGTGGAAGAAGGGACATCACATCCTCACACCGGGCAACAAGTACAGCATGAGACAGGAAGGCTGTGTTGTGGAGCTGACAGTTCACCATTTAGACTCAAATGATGCTGGAGATTATACCTGTGTGTGTGGAGAGAAGAGCACCACAGCAACCTTAACAGTGCATGGTAAAGTAACCAGTGGGACTAATGTCCTCCAAACCCTAGACCTGCCCAAGTTTCCATTGCTACAGTCCGTTCCCATTATTCCCTTTCTGTTTTCTTGCACTTTTGTGTTCATTTGGACTTGGCTTATGTGCTTCCTTTTTCTGTTAGAACTGGGAAGAGTTGCCTGCTGTTTTTCTCCTCTTCAGCTGTGCTGTTCCTTCTCACTGTCTCACTTTCCTTGCCCTGATGCAGAGTCCAGGGAAGATGAGGGAGATTTTTCCATTATATTCCACAGACCTGGATCAGGGCTCAACAGCACATGATGCAACTTCTCCCCCAGGACCTCATCTAGCTACTTTTTAAGGAATATTCACTCTCTATGGTAATTCTTTTACTCTTCAGCACTGCCTCCAGAATTCAAAAGAGACCTGAAGGACCTGGAAGCTGTAGAAAATGGGACAGCTGCTCTACACTGTGAGCTGACTAAACCTGCTGTGGTGGAGTGGAAGAAAGGGCAGGAGGTGCTCAAAGCCAGCAGCAAATATGAAATGAGTCAAGATGGTGCTGTTGCAAAGCTGGTTATCCATGAGCTGGATGTGGAGGACAGTGGAGATTACACCTGTGTGTGTGGAGATCAGCAGACAACTGCCACTTTGACAGTCAAGGGTAAAAGAAAAAAATAGTTTAAAAATGTAAAAATAGTTTAGAAAGGGCTAATATCACAGTATATTCTGAAAGCACAAGTCCTGTGTTAGTGTCACTGATGGAGAAGACTTGGCTACATTCCTAAGGAAGGTGTGTGGAATATCATGGTCTATACAACCTAATAGAGTGACCAGGTAGAAAATGGGAATTTCAAAGCTAAACTAAGTGCATTTGGTCAGTATATTGGATTCAGGATAATTGTAATCTTTCCTGCACATGGCCTGCCTTAAGAGGGAAGCTGAGCTCTTACAACTCCCTGCTGACCCTCAGAATACCTCTTTAGTGATCAAGGCAACCTGTTGGCTAATTTTGTAGTAGGGAAAATATTCTGCCATTTTTAGGTCATAGATTATTTTAAGCTTCTATATACTTCACAGAAAATGTGACTTCATTAGACCAATTTCTTCTGCTTCTGCAGATATTCCTATTACTTCTTTAGGGAAATAAGCTCATACTTTGGATACAAAACATTGAGGTTTAGATGCACCTGCAAAAAAAGCTCTTTCAGTGCTTTCATTTTCTTTCTACTTTCTCTTTCCCAACCCCCAACTGCAGTGTGTTGCAAGTTATATTTCTATTTTATAGCCCTACCAGCACTTTTTAAGCAAGAGCTGAAGAACACCGAGGCAGAAGAAGGTGGTACAGCAACACTGAGGTGTGAGCTTACCAAACCCAAGGCTCCAGTAGAGTGGAGGAAAGGAGACACTACTCTCTACCCTGGTTTGAAATATGAGATGAAGCAGCAGGGCTCCACTGCTGAACTGGTCATTTGTGACTTAGAACTGGATGATTCGGGGCAGTACACCTGTGACTCTGGGCATCAGCAGACAACAGCTGTGGTCACTGTACATGGTAGGCAGAATATTGACCCTTGGCTCAGTAGAGATGAAGGGAGAGGAGCATCTCTCAATGTTCCCTACAGCTGTTTCTTTGTTTTGCTGCTGGTCCACACCAGCAAACATATCCTACTTAAGCATGATACAAGTTAAGTTGAGTTAGGGAGGTGCTGCTTGCAGTATCTGGAGTGATTAAACAGCATCAAAGTAATTAAATGTTGCCATGATGTCAAAATATGATAAACCCTCCTGTTCTATGAGTGCAAGGGGTGCATGTGGGAATGGATAACAGAAAATAAGCCAGGCAGGCTGGTAGTTATTTTGGCTTGTTGATTATTTCAGTAGGGATAAGGAATGCCTAACTGGGGGTAACGCCTGGTTGGGATGATAAAAGATGCAACAATTGGTGGATAAATGGAATTCTATAACATGTGAAGGTGCTGTATTGTTACTTGAGACTTTGAGCCTCAGGTGTAAACACTGAGCTCATCCCTGCCTCTTCTACCATCCTGAGCAAGATCTTGCCAGGAATGTGGATTTCCTCTCCCATTTATCACTCTATGGTCATCTCACACTCTATTGGGCCATCATGTTTTGAATTCTAACTTCATCTTTTATACATTGATAGAAGCTTTATTTGAGGGGGAAAATATACTTTACTTAATACTGCAAACTCACAGACCTCTTATTAAGGCACAAGGGTCCATGCTCTACTGTGTCCCAGTGGTTGATGACTAAAGCTTCACTATCTGGCATCAGCATATTTCTGCAGGAAAGTCTGACTCCTTCAGACCACAAACCAGGCCATTCTGAGGACCACCCTCTAAGACCAGCTCTCACCATCTGGTTCATGTAATGGCTCCAGAAATGTGCTACCAAGACAGAGTTGCAGGCCAAGGATTGTGGCCTCATTAGGATAGGCCATTTCTGAAGAACAGTGATAAGAATATGTCCTTTCTGGACTAAAACACTCTGAAAACATTGCCTTCTCAAATTTTGCAGCACTGCCTGTCACATTTAAACAACCCCTTCAAAATAAGGAATCAGAGGAAGGAGGTACAGCTACATTCTGTTGTGAGCTGTCGAAACCCAATGCTGCAGTGGAATGGATGAAAGGAGGAGTGGGGCTGCAGCCCAGCCAGAAGTATGAAATGAGGCAAAGGGAAGGCTGGGTAGAGCTTTTAATACATAATCTCAAGTTAGAAGATACAGGAGAATACAGCTGTGATACAGGGGATCAGGAAACCAAGGCATCTTTAACTGTGAAAGGTAGGTGGTGGGAGGAGACTCCTAAAGGAATTTATTCCATCCAACATGCAAATGAACAGTTTGAATATTAACATCTTGAAGCACATTATTTTTTTCCCCCTATAAATGTTTTCCTTTTCATCTGCTCTACAAGGATACTTATTCTTTTTTTTTAAATGAGAATGGAAGAAAAGGATACTTTGTCCATCCAGTGTTGCATTTGAGTCTTTGGTTCTAAGAAGAAATACTTTCTAGATTTATGGCTGGAGATAATTTTTTTTAAAAAAGAGCAATACCTTAGCATAACATCTGGACACCTCACATGATATGTGGTTTAAATATTTTATTTTTTTTTAATTCTTCCAAATTCTGGAAGGACACTGATAATGGTCTTTGTGATCCATCAAGGCTGTCCACGGAGTTTTCAACTTCTTTACTCTTGACATCTTTGTTAGATCAGCCAAAGGATAAATTAATTTAAAGGATCCAACCCTGAGAAGGACCTGAGGCAAGGAACAAAGGGAATAAATGTTGTAGGTGCTGATGGCTGCTTCTGATGCAGCAAAATCTCCTAGTAGCTCCAGGCAAATTGGAAGAGATGGATCCTGCCTAGGAACACAGCACTTGCAAAACACAGTATCTTGTTCCCTGAACTGCCAGTCTAACTGTGTTAAGCAGAACTTGACTCAAGCTTCAATAAAAGCTCCTTTTGCTTCTTTTTTTCCCCCCCTTTAGCTCTGCCAGTTCTTTTCAAAAAGGAGCTGAAGGACAAGGAGGCAGAAGAAGGAGCAGCAGTGAAGTTCCAGTGTGAGCTGACAAAGGATAATGCAGCAGTGGAGTGGAGAAAAGGCACCATGGAGCTCTTCCCTTGTGCCAAATATGAGATCAAATTAAGTGGTCACAGAGCTGAACTCGTGATTCATAATGTAGAACCAGAAGATGCCTCTGATTATACTTGTGACACAGGAGACCAGCAGAGCACAGCAGTCCTCAGAGTGAATGGTTAGCATTGCTTTGGAACGGAACAAGAGAAGAGAAGGGATTTCTGAAATTGTGTGCATGATAGTGTTTATTCATTGGTGAATAAGGCATCCCAAAATTTAGGATAAAGAGGAAAGCAGGTGCCCAGTCATGAATGAGAATACAGAAAAATTGATCTGGTGGGAAAGAATTTGCAGAATGGTTATTTAAGACTGGAAAGTACAATGGTAGATCTAACAGATCTTTAGTTTTTTGCACTTTGCATTCATTGCCAGTTCAGCTGAATCAATTACTAACAATAAGTGATTTACAAAGTAATTTGATATATCTACTATATTCAATTTTTGTAATGCTCTCCCAGGAGGATCCTGAAAACACTGTGTTTAGACAAACCAGAAATTATGTCTGTGGTTAATAACCATCTGTGACATGTTTGTGGTCACCCCAAACTGCTGAGTGGAACTTATGGCTTTGGTCTAAACCACAGCCTTTCACACCACATCCTCTTGCAATGAACTTGACCCACAAAGCAGCCACTGGGTCAATTACGAGTGAAATGACCCTGTACTCCTTTGCATGTATCACAATAGGGTTTAGACAGAAGAACCACAAGCACTGAGATTTCTGTTTTCACATCTGCTCTCACACACACACATGTTGGATAGTTCCTTCTTGTTTTCATCAGGCTGTTCTCTGAGCTGTTCTATGCCTTGTGTGGATAAATTTAGTCCATTTGCATCTACGTCATCGGGAAGAACTTACCATTGATGGTCTTGAAATGACAGCAGAGAAACTGGAGATGTGTTTAAAGCTTTACATCATTTACAGTGTTGGAAGTCCTGAGTATTTCTGTTAAAACGAATGGATTTACACTAGTTATAATCAGAAAGTATCAGGTCTTGCTTAGCCAAAAGCTTTATGCACGCTGCAGTTTCCAACATCCAGAGTAGATGTACAAAAGGCTTTATGTGGATGCCCTTGATTTTAGGAGAAACAAACATATTTGGGGAACTTTCTGATCCTCTCCTGGTCAGGATATGCACAATATCAATCTGTTTATAGAGATAAAAAGGGTTGTTATTATTATATAACCACTTAATGCAAATTTCTTCTGCAGCATCAGAGCCTGGGGAGCCTTGTGCTGAGTTGTCCAGACTCGGCGTTCAAGCTCAATGAAAAGTGCATTAATGAAGGGTTTTTCACTTTGCAGCCACCAAACCCCGGCTGAAGCAGCAGCTGAAGAATGAAGAGGTGGAAGTGGGAGGAACAGCCAGGCTGCGCTGCGAGATTTCCATCAGCAAAGCAGAAGTGGAGTGGAGGAAAGATGGAGCCACCCTTCAGCCCAGCTCCAAGTATGAAATGAGGCAGGACGGCACCTTCCGCGAGCTGTGGGTTCATCGCTTGGAGCCCGGTGATGCTGGAGAATATTCCTGCAAGGCTGGGGATGAGACAAGCTCTGCAAAACTGACCGTGACAGGCAAGACCCGTTTACTGGGGCGAGGGGATTTTCACTTTAGGGTGCTAAGATTTATTATTATGGTTGTGATAGATAATTTGTTAAACTCTTGTGATAAACACAGAGCATAAAAAATTCTTACGGTCGATGAACGCAACGAAGCAAGTCCACTTGGTGGACAGGAAAGGATAAGGCAGTTGTAATTTCTGACTTGTGGCTTGAAATATTTGCCTGACATCATATGCATGGGAAGGAACAGATGATCCACCCCGAGCTTCCAGTCATGTGATAGCTGCATCTGGCCTCAGTGTTGTTACAGAGAGAGCTTGTGTTCAGGTTGGACCACTGGTGTGGAACAACTGCTGCTGGCAGCTCTACAGGCCACTTCATTTTACTCAGCACACGAAGCTCAGCTGCACCAGCTTTCATGCAAATGGTGACCTCAGTGGTATGAATACACACAATGCTTGCTCAGGTGAAGGTTGAGCTGCTTTTCCTGTGGTATTCCCCAGCAGATCTGGGGTGTGTACAGCTTCTCCCTTTTGCGGGCTGTCTGTACAACCCTTGCACAGACCTGCAGGTCCCCATCTCTTCTAGAAACAGGACTCCAGCAAACTGAAGTGCAGATAGCCCATGCTTAGGATAATCCAGTGAGTCCTGCTGAGAAAATGGAGCCAAGCAGATCCCCAGCCAGTTTGGAACACCAACACAGGGTGTATGCAATTCTGTTTGCAAAAAGACAGCAGAGGGGATCAGGTTTAAATGTTGTTCTGAGAAGATATCTGAGTGCAAATGTGACAAAATCCTGATTTTTTTGCATCTGATGTTCATGCCTTATTCACCCAGTTAAAGTATCAAACATTCAATTAAAAATCAAAGAACAATGTGAAAGAACAAGTAATAAAACCACTAACTGAAATACATTGGCCATGGTACCAAGTGTGCTGGAGGTAGGGAAGCAGCAGAATTTGAAACACATGATGTGAGAGGCTGTGCTGTCTCCATCCTTGGAGATACCCAAAGCTGGGCAACCTGCTGTGAGCTGGTCCAGGTGGCCTACAGAAACCCACTCCAATTGGTATTATTTGATGGTTTTCTGATCTGACCCCTGTTTTCCCTTTCATGGCTTGACTGCTGGTGGGTTGTTTGCAGAGCCTGACGTGACCATCGTGAGAGGCCTCCAGGACATGGTGGTGTTTGAAGGGGATGATGTCACATTTCAGTGCCAGGTCTCTCACGAGAACGCAAGGGATGTCGAGTGGAAGCTACAGGATGTTGCTCTGCAGAACAATGAAATGAACGAGATCTCAGTGGAGAAGGGGAAGATTCACACCCTGACCTTAAGGAAGGTGACTGAGCAGGACATCGGCACCGTCGCTTTCCGAGTGGGACCCTACACCTCGAAGGCAGAGCTCACAGTAAAAGGTCAGGGTTCTCTGTGACGTGGGAAAGGGACAAGGTTGACGAGAACAGGTGACATTTTGCTCATGCTAAGAGTGAATTCAAGGCCATCATTCACCCTTTGGGAGCCCACGATAGTAGTGTGCTTGTGCTTCAGAGCATACCTGCTGTGCTGGTGTGGTCTCATAGACCACATCCCCATGGGTGGACAGTGGATATGTCACCAGGGTTCTGAAGTGGATTGGTTTCTAGAGAAACTCTAGAGGCTCTAGTAGGTGGATTGATAGATCTGTAATTTTCATTGCTTCTTCTTTCCATGTTTTTGTTTGGTTTTGGTTATTTTATTTTATTTTATTTTATTTTATTTTATTTTATTTTATTTTTCTCCTTTGGAGTCTTTGTCTAAACACTGTTTTGAAGGAATTCTTAGCCACACATAGAATAGTTTTAGCTTTAAAGGGCCTTTAAGATCATCAAAGCCAGCTGTTAAGCCAGCACTCTCCCATATTCACCACTAAGCTGTGTGCCTCAGTACCCTATCTACAGGTCTTTCACATACCTCAAGGGGTTGTGACTCAGCTTTCACTTCACCTTTAAGGAGCTCTAGGTTAGTTTAGATGTTCTGTATGTAAGATCTGGGGTCAATGAGGCAGAGAGTCTTGTTCTTTTTTTGTGATGAGGATTTCTTTCTCAACAGTGATGAAGACTGATGGAGCAGGTCTTCACAAAGCTTGTCTGCTGAGACATTATTCCTCTCACCTACTTATTCCTTTGGTGGCTCCTGTGAGCCTTGGGGCAGCAGGGCTTAGATGCACAAATGAAATGTCTTCACTGCAAATGTAGCCATACAAAAGCCTTGAGCTCAGCCATTGTTCAGCTGTCCCACAGAATACACCATCCATTCCTACATCACCCACAAGCACCTTCAGATTGATCTCCTCTTATATGTATCTGCCACCTGCTTCCTGTAAATTCACCAGGATTTCTAGAAACACACCTCCTTCCCTTGTAAATACCAGTTGAGCTACAACTGTGAAGCCACCAAGGTGAGCCACCAAGGCTGGACTTGAGGAACTTCTGCAGCACAGCTGAGGGAGCCTGGAGAAAAGGAGGCTGAAAGGAAACCTTCTCACTCTCCACAACTACCTGAAAGGAGGTTGGAGCAGGTTGGGGATCAGTCCCTTGTCCCTAGTAACAAGGAGCAGGAAGAGAAGAAATGTACTCAAGTTCCACTAGGGGAGGTCTAGGTTGGATAGTAGAAGAAACTTCTTCACTGAAAGGGTAATTAAGCACTAGAACAGGCTGCCCAGGGAGGTGCTGAATCACCATCACTGAAGGTATTTAAAAGACCTATAGATGTGGTGCTTTCAATGTAGATCCATCCAGACTTCATCTCTCTTCTGGGCCCATTTTCAAATAAGGAGCATATAATGATGTTTCTCCATGGACCTTCCCAAATACCCAAGAGCTCAGATCATTAGGTGTAAGCTTTTGTGTTGTGGCTTTGGTACCCACTTGGAGATACATGCACTTAGATGGTTAAGAGTCCATATCCATGACCACTCCTGTGTAGGAGGGATATATTCCCAGATTTCTTGCTGTGTGCAGTGTCCAGTGACTCTTCAATGCAGAGTGCTTAGTGCTCCTGGAAATCCAGCACTTTCTGTTATTCTTTTTTTGAGTTTGAAAGTAATTTTGAAATGGAGTTTGAGCCAAATTTGGAATGGCTCCACAGTTTCATTGAACACAAGACTTAGTGACACAGTCAGCAATTAATCATTTTTTTATTATTATTTTTTCCCCCTCTGATTTATCTTGGTTTAGCTTTGCCAGGAAGTTTCACACAACCACTCCAGAACCAACAGGCTGAAGAAGGAGGCACCGTCACTTTGAGCTGTGAAGTCTCAAAATCCAACACCTCTGTGCAGTGGAAGAAGGCTGGGACAGTGCTGAGACCAAGTGGCAAATACAAGATGAGTCAAGTGGGACCAGTGGCTGAGCTGACGATTCATAACCTGAGTGGAGCTGATGCTGGGGAGTACACATGTGAGACAGGGGACCAGAAAACCACTGCAACTGTGCTGGTGAAAGGTGGGCTTTGCATTGGGATGAGCTGAACAGGGCAGGGACACATGATTAAGTAGTTTGACAGGTAGACACTGTCCTGTGCCCAAACTGAATCGTGGGGATCTTGGAGTCAGGAGTGATTTCAGAGGGCTGAGAAATGGGTCAGTTATCTCTAGGGAATCAGGAATGGGTCTTTAGTCAGTTATTCTGTGGCTTCATGTTGATGTCACCCCTAAAATCTGTTGATAATGTCACAACCCACAGATTGCATTATAAATGTGTATTATATCTTTATTATACAGGCAGTACAGTATAACATGCATGCTTTATAGACTATCATATAGGTGTGCGTAACCTATATGCACATGTACATACATTAAGCACCTGCAGGAATATAACCTGTTACCTCATCTGTGTGACTACATTTCTATGTATTTAGTGCTTAGTGGTCATCCTGTCAAATAATATACTGTCCAGAAAGACCATAAAAAAATGTTTAACCCATCACTTGAAAGTAGATCTCAAACCTGATTGACCTTTCCATAAAGAGCCAGCAACAACCATAGTGGAGATGCTGAAGGACATCACCTCGTATGAAGGAGAAGATGCAGTGTTTGAATGCAGGCTGTCCCGGGAAACAACTCAGGATGCCCAGTGGTTCCTAGGAGATGTTCCCCTGCAATCCAATGAAATGAATGAGATCAGAGTCCAAGGGACACGTCACACTTTGGTCCTGAGGAAGGTGACACTAGAAGACTGCAGTCCCATCAGTTTCAAAGTTGGGCAGCACAGCTCAACAGCACAGCTCACAGTCCGAGGTGAGTGACCTTCTGGGAAAGGGTCAGCTTCTGGAGAGGTTTATTTGGGAGGAGGGGTCCTTGGAAATGTTGGGAGATTCTGCTAATCTACTTTAGGCATTTAAGCATTAGATATGTACACCTAACCAAGTCATTTCAGTCCTTTTGTATAGTCCATGGAGTGAAGAAGACAACCTTGGAAGACCATCCAACTGGTCCTGAAACCAACAGCTAAGATATGTCAGAATCCATGCTGAAGGAGTCAAGAAAATGTTCTGAATTTATCTCCTCTTTATGATGGCTTTCGATCATATTTACTCAAAAAAAAAAGCATCAAAAAACTCTGAAAAGCCTTTCCATTAAATTCTAGAGAATGGTTTTGAAAGAAGGGCCATGTTAATACCTTATCTTGTTTGTTCCTTTTTGATCTGGTTCAAAATGCAGCTGTAGGCACCCAGTTCCAACCTGGGGCCATGCTGGATTAGGTGCTTTCAGCAGTGTTGGTCCCCTTTTCCCCACAGTTGCTCCAGCCACCTTTGTAAAGGCTCTCCACAACCTGGAGCTGCAGGAGGGTGGCACAGCTCACTTGTCCTGTGAGGTGTCCAAGCCTGATGTCCCAGTGGAGTGGAAGAAAGGCACCTCTGTGATCCGCTCCAGCCAGAAGTGCAGCATCAAGCAGGAGGGGAAGGTGCACACCCTGGTCATCCACGACCTGAACCGTGCAGACACAGGGGAGTACAGCTGCCACACACCTGATGGGAAGACCACTGCCAGGCTGGAGGTTAAAGGTATGATTCCCTCTTTACTCTGCAGTGGTGAGAGGTGCCCGTGTCAATTTTTGGAGGTCCCTAAGGCAAGACTGGCATTGAGGTAGCAGAGCAAGTGCAGCAGAAGCCATCAAGTTTGTCACAGAATCACAGAATGTTTGGAGTTGGAAGGGACCTTAAAGATCATCTAGATCCAGCCCTTCTGCATGGGCAGGGACACCTCCCACTAGAACAGGCTGCTCAGAGCCCCATCCCACCTGCCCTTGAACACGGCCGGGGAGGGAGCCCCCACATCTCTGGGCAGCCTGTTCCAGTGTCTCACCACCCTTACACTGAAGCATTTACACCTGATCTCTAACTTAAATCTCTCTTATTTCAGCTTAAAACCATTAGCCCTTGTCCTCCCACTGCAAGCCCCTCTAAAAAGCCCCTCCCCAGCTTTTCTGGAGCCCCTTCAGGCACTGGAAGGCCACTATGAGGTTTCCCTGGAGCCTTCTCTTCTCCAGGCTGAACAGCCTCAACTCCCTCAGCCTGTCCTCATCAGAGACCTGCTCCAGTCCTCAGATAATTTTCATGGCCCTTCTCTGGACACATTCCAACAGGTCCACATCTTTCTTGTGCTGGGGGCACCAGAGCTGGACACAGCACTCCAGGTGGGGTCTCACTAGGGCAGAGTAGAGGGGCAGAATCACCTCTCTCCATCTGCTGGCCACACTTCTTTTGATACAGCCCAGGATGGAGTTGGTTACAGCCAGGATGGAGTTGTCAGGGGAAGAGAAGGCTGAGGGGGGACCTGGTTGCTGTCTGCAGCTACCTAGTAGGGGTCTACAGAGGAGAGAGAAGTGCTCAGGTCCTTGGGGTGCTCAGTAAACAGATTGGAGACAAGAAGTGTAAACTCCAGCAAGAGAAATTTGTATTAGGGAAAAACCCACCCTTTTGCATTGAAGGGGTGATGAAAGGGGTGATGAGACACTGGAAATGGGAGTGAGTGGCAGAGGAATCTCCATCTGTGGAAGATCTCCAGAAGTCCCTTCAGCCTTAATTATTCTGTAATCCATCCCTGGCTGCATGACCTCAAGTTGTTCTTAAAATGGTGCAGCCACAGTTCTGAAGGTGTTTATTCTTTGAATGCTTTTACCTTGTTCTCTGGTTTTATTTTGGGGATGAATAATCATCTGGGCAACAGAAATTATTACTGAATTTAGTCAGAAGTTCTTTATGAAATGAAGTCTAAGATATGGGGGGAGAAATGCAGCTTCTGTGGAATATAAATATTTTCTGCTGGTTAACTCCTCTCCCTCCTCCTTCTCTGTCTGCCTTCCCATCTCTGTTAGGTAAATACCATCAGAATTGTGCATGAACTTCATGCATGACATCCTGATGGGCAGAGGGCTGGAGCACCTCTACTATGGAGCCAGGCTGGGAGAGTTGGGGTGTTCAGCCTGGAGAAGAGAAGGCTCCAGGGAGACCTGAGAGCACCTTCCAGTGCCTGAAGGGGCTCCAGGAAAGCTGGGGAGGTGATTTTTATAGGGGCAGGGAGTGAGAGGATGAAGTGGGATGGCTTTAAACTGGAAAAGGGGGGATTCAGGTTAGACATCAGGAAGAAATTATTTAGTGTGAGGGTGATGAGACGCTGGAACATGTTTCCCAGAGAAGCTGTGGCTGCCCCATCCCTGGCAGTGTTGAAGGGCAGGTTGGATGGGGCTTGGAGCAACCTGGGCTGCTGGGAGGTGTCCCTGCCTGTGGAGGGAGCTGCAACTAGATGATCTCAAAGATCCCTTCCAGCCCAAACTATTCTGTGATTGTATGATTTTCCATTTTTGCTTCTCCCATTTTCTCTCTCTCCCCACCCCAAGCCCTGCCTGTGCTTTTCAAGCACCAGCTGGAGGACGAGGAGGTGGAGGAAGGGCGCACAGCCCTGCTGCTCTGCGAGCTGACGAGACCCAACGCCCCCGTGGAGTGGAGGAAAGGAGATAAGGTGCTGCAGCCCAGTGACAAGTACGAGATCCGGCAAGAGGGGACCCGTGCTGAGCTCCTCATCTACTGTGCTGAGGCTCAGGATGCTGGTGATTACACGTGTGTCTCAGGGGACCAGCAGACCAGTGCCTCGCTGCAAGTCAAAGGTAGGAGAAGCCTTGCTCAGGGGCAGAGAAGATCTGGCTATGATTGTTCTCCACAGGGGTGAGAAGGAAGTTATATCCCTGACTTATCATTAACACTTTGTGAGATACAACTGCAGGGAAGGGTTTGATCCGCAGTCTTCAAAGAAGAATCTAGTGCCTTTTAAAGACCATTCTGTTTCTGCAGTTGCAATTTTGATCTCTCTCTGAGAACTAGGACCAAAACTGCAGCTGTTGCTAATGGAGGGAACATATAAGAGGGTTTAGAAAACTTGCCTGATGCCTGACAAGAAGAGATTGAGTATTTCACCATGCTTAGAACAGGCCCAAGATTTGTGGATCCTTTTCTTTTTCTACTAGCTACTTTTTTTTTTTTTTATCTTAGAGTTTTATTCATTTTATACTTCTATTCATCTTAAAGCAACAGGATTATACTTTTAGATCCAGAGTTTAGTCCCACCACCATCTCCAGCTCAGAGTGTGTGGTTTCAGCTATGAAATGCCCAAGTGCTTTGATTAGTACCACTGTGCCTCTAACTGCTTACACTGAGAACTGTGTGTATGGCCACATGAAGCCCCTTAGAGGTTCTGTGACCTATGGGAATCTTCATGGAGCAGCAGTGGACACCCTCAGAGTACCAGCATGTCATCCCCTTGAGCTCCTGCACAACTCAAAGTGCTGCTCTGCTCTTGGCATTCATAGAATAGTTTGGGACCTTAAAGGTCACCTAGTTCCAATCCCCCTGCCATGTGCAAGGACACCTCCCACTAAATCAGGTTGCTCCAAGCCCCATCCAACCTGAATTAAAAGATTCATTGCCAGCAGGCAAGTTGTGGTTCAGAAAGATGGGAGCTGCCAAGATGGACAAGTTGCAAGCAAGTTTCTTACCTCTGGGGCACTGTCACTGATGCAGTTGCTTCTTCACCACAGTACTACCTGTGCTATTTAAAGAAGAACTGAAAAATGTAGAGTGTGAAGAAGGGGGAACAGCTGTCTTGCACTGTGAGATCTCCAAGCCTGATGCCCCTGTTGAGTGGAGAAAAGGAGGGTTGGTCATTCAGCCCAGTGATAAGTACGAGATGAAGCTAAAGGGCAGCATTGCTGAGCTGATTATCCATGGTGTAGAGCCTGATGACTGTGGGAACTACACCTGCAGCACTGGATACGAGATCACCACGTGTTCTGTGTATGTGCAAGGTAAGGCGAGACATGGTGGAAATGTTCTGCCTTTGCTGCCTGGATTTCTTACTCAGAAATCTTTGACAGTAACTGGCCAAACTTGTCTCAGATGCAGCCAGTTGGAAGTCCATTCTTTTCTTTCCTGGTTTCAGTGAAGATATAAACGCATCCAGCCTGAGCTTGGACCAATGTTTCTAACTTAAGATAGTTCAAAGTACAGGCTGTGCCATGTACCACCTTCTGCTGATGGTGGGGCAGCTGAAAAGCTATTTGCTTGGAGTCACAGTTGTAAAAAAAAGCTGAAATTCTTATTACTAATGATTACAGCTGCTCTCATAGGTGATATTCTTATTACTCTTTTAAAACAATGTAAGAAGCATCCCATATCAATCTCAAGCCATCTCTCCACCTCCCACTTCATGCCACCGCAGTGCAGATGGCTGCAACATAAAGGAGTGCCAGTCATGGCCTGGCTGTGGAGTAGGCCTTCCTCTTGATGAAGCAGCTTTTGCACACACACATAGCTGGTGCTTGCAGGTGGGTGAAGGATGGAAGGTGGTGTCCCAATCCCTTAAAGCAAATTTAACCTTTTTTCACTGGAACAGCATTACAAGTTTAACTCTCCTGGACAACTTGCAGTGTCGCTCGGGCTAGTTCTGCAGGAAGGGACGTGTATGTGTTGATGCTTTTGTTTTCCTGTGGCACCTTCTCTTGCTCTGTTATGCAGAAGAGGCAGCAGTCATAGTTTCTGGTTTAAAGAACACAGACGTCTTTGTGGGTGAGTCGGCCACGTTCACCTGTGAGCTCTCGCACCCGGGCGTGAGGAACGTGCAGTGGTGGCTCGATGGATCCCCCCTCCACAACAACTTTGTGACTGAGATCTCTGAGCAGGACGGGATGATCCACACTTTAACCCTAAATGACGTGGCGTGCCATGACTCGGGCACTGTCACC